TTTAAGCGGATCCAATTTTTCCCCAAAAACTTCCAATTATGCCGAAAATCGTTGCATTCGGGCCCCGCAAAGTTCTTGAATAATTTCAGAATGTTTCTCTGTTTTCTTTATTCAAACGTCACGCCGTATTTGCTCGCATTCAGCGAATTATCGCGTTTGAAATCAGCAAACACCTGGATTATGTTCATCCGTATCAACGAAATGGGCTCAAATATTTACGTGTGTATATATTAATGATTTATTCAAATCCTATTGACGATCATTTCGTGACAACTCGGGGAAGAAATATGTCGATCGAAGCCGTCTTTTTGGCGGTATAAAAATTTGTGTAGAAATTGCGCCGAACGTAGACTATCGAACCGATCTTCGTTAGCGAGATCGTCGCCGGTTAAAAAACCAGCCTCGGTTGGTTACACGGAACGACGAGAGGAAGCCGGGGGCTGCGACTACCCATTCAATTTTCCCTTAACAAAGCTCCTCCTTTCTTCCTATCTTCTTTTAGAGCCCGCTGCGACGCGACCGCGTTCGTTCATGTATGAAAAGCAGCAGGTTTTCCTCTTAATTCTCTTCACCTCGTCGCTTCGTTCCCGTCGAAAAATTCCACCCTTCGATCCAAAAATACTTGGAAACAAACTCGTAGGTTTTTGGATCGAGAAATTAGATCCACGAACCGTTTGGAGCGATGACTAAACGAGGTGGGATTATTTTTTAAGAGAGACAAAGGGGTGGCGGGAAGTGCAGATGGTCAAAAGGCGGAGATAAAACGAAGAACGTGTAACGCGACTAGTCACGCAATTAAGGGCAAACAAAAGGGTTTCTCTCTTGGCTCGTGTTTCTCTTAATTCCTTTTCCCTTATCTCTCCGCCACCGCCTCCGTGGCCGTTTGCGACTACGTACGCGTTCTTCTAGCCTCTCGCTGCCGCGCAGACCGTAATTAACTCTCCGCTTAATCTTTTCTGCTCGCGCCACGGTTCGCCCTTTTTCTGTTTTCCCGCGCGTTCTGCGAAATTCCCCATCGAGCGGAATTAAACGTCGATGTGAAAAGGGCTGAAACTCTTTTATCTGCTGTCCAACGTTTCGTTTTACCCGTCGCGATCTCCATTTACGTTTCCCCTTCGTCGGCGAAACGGTCCGCGGCTTCTCAATTACCGATATTAATTATTAAATCCGCAGTGTTGTTTAATCGGGAGGCGAGCGGGGCGAGTCGCTTGTTTCCCCTGTGAATTTATAGGAGGATATTACTAGAGCATTGTAAATTAATAGCGGTGACAAAACTATTTGTACGCACGATTAATGGGACGATACATAATGCGCGGATAACGACGGTTCCAAAGCGTTTTCAGGGGGGAAGGGGAATCGATTGCCTGGGCTATTTAAAATAATTTTCGCGACGGCGATATATCTGCGCGAGACAATTGAATTCTGATTCCAATTTACCAGAGCGATTCTCTATGCGCGGGTGGCTAAAATTCGCAATTTTCTACAAAATGATACGAGCACGACGCGTGTCGAGATCCGTTTAGATCGCCGTGACAAATCGCGACGCCTCTTGAAACGCTCGAAACGAACAACAGTCACGTTCGAGGCGCTCGATGTCCCTCTATTGTTGAACAGATATCTCGTGAGATTCGATACGGAGGACGCGTGGCACTGAGAACCTGATATCGACGACCCTGAACTTTGGAAAACCTGATACGAACGACGGGACTCCGGTTTCAGCTTTTCATAGGTCCAGAAACGGTGTTATTGACTCCCGGGAAAGTGGAAACTAACGGAAACGTGTCCCATCTACCGATATCCGATATCCAGGCACTTATGCACGGTGTTTGATATAATTATTTCCTCAAAAATATGAGATCCGCCCTTAAATATACTCGAATATCTTGCAAACGGGGAAAACACGTCATGAGTTAGTTCTTCCACCCCCCCCCTCCCCCAGAGGGTGGCACGTGCACGTGGGAGTGGCTTTTTAGAATCCGGAATGTAAACGAGGCCGAGTCGAGCCGAGGAAATCATGAAGGCGGAAGGTAGACACCCAGCTGTTGGATGCAGACCTTTAGGCAGTGCAGCCGTTGTGTGGCTCCGTCTGCTGAAATTTTGCGTTCGAGGAAAGTCATGCTTGCTTTTCACGCGACTTACGTCGCTTACCATGTACGTTCGCAAGAATCTCTGCCCGGTTCTCTCTTTACGCTTACTTTGCCCCCGTTTACGGAATCTACTAATTCAAACAACTGACGAAATTGTTCCCGAGAGAGGAAAGTTTCTATTATTTGTGGATGATAGGGGATAACAAAATACGAAGAGCAAAACAACGGTTCTCGACGTAAACTCTGACGCTAAAATTTGCAAAAATCAGGGTTGGAAACTTGAGAGTTGACTTAATACATGGCGTAACGCGGTAAATCATTCGAGACACTAATAAAATATTTCGAGGTCGGCAGGTATGGCGGTTTACTCAAGCTCGCCGTGGATCGAGTCAACTAACTCGGTGTAATTGAAATACATACGACTGTCGCGGCGGCGATAAACAAGCGGTAACAACAGCGTCGAAACCCTTCTCCCCCGTAAAATGTAGCGCCACTAAAATCTAACGTTCGCGACTCTCGGCGATCATAATTGCATCCGCGGCGAGCATTTAATGTTTCGTAGTAAAATTATCGCGATAATCTTTCGCCGCGAGAGATACGGCTCGGTCGTAAAGAGGAATCCTCGAAGCCGCGGCGTATCGCAAATCAAGCACCGTCGCAAATCACGGGTGGCGAGAAAAGGGCGGCGAAAAAACTGCCATAATGTTCTGGAAAATGCGGCGGTTCCGACGCCTAGCGTCGCGTTGTGATTTAATGCAACGTTGCGCGTCAACCATACGCAGGGCTGCTGTGATACGCGAATTCTGAAACAAACGAGCTACAGGATGCACGGCCACGCAAAGAAATCCTAGCAACAAAATTACCCATCGTACACGTTCGAATCTGCAAGTAGAACTTAACTTTAGAAACATTTTTGGCCACACATTATATAATTTTTAATAAAGAATTTTTTTTCTCAAAAGGATGCAGGATTACGGGGATATGTCTATTCACCGAAAATGATTCTAGTTAACCACTGCGACCAACAGTAATTTTTTTAGAACGATTCGAAAATTTTTTTTTCGCCGAAAAATTTGTCCTCCTTTTCGAATTTTTTTCTCGAAAGTGGGTAGGATTTCGAGGGTATATCTATTGATAAAAAATGATTGTAATTGACCCCTGCAACTGAAAATAATTTTTCCAGAACAATTTGACAGTTTGTTTTCTCGACGAAAAATTTAAGGGGAACAGATGAACGTCTGGTCAGACATTCTTAGTAATGAATTTTTTTCTCGAAAATGGTTAGGATTTCGAGGGTATGTCTATCGATAAAAAATGCTTGTAATTGACCCCTGCAACTAAAAATAATTTTTCCAGAACGATTCGAAATTTTTTTTTCACCGAAAAATTTGTCCACCTACTTAAATTTTTTTCTCGAAAATCCATACGATTTTAGTAGTATATGTATTCACCAAAAATGATTGTAATTAACTCCTCCAATATCTAATATTAAAATCAACACATTTTAATATGTATATTCAATAGTCTGATACTCATTTCGTTTTTACGTTCGTATGGATTATTATCGTCTCCGAAAGTATCCGCCGCGTGGGTGAAGGATTCGATGAATATTTCACGGGTGTCGCGTAAACAACTTCACAATGATCGATGATCGTTGTTCGAGCAGTGGCTTGTTCTATTCCATCGCGAATCGATTGTTGCGATGATTGTCGTTAATCACAGCGACACGCACGTGAACGTAACGTAGGTTGATTCCGCGCACTCTAATTGACAATGGCGATACAGTTCCAGTCACGGGTCATTTAGTAGAGCACGAGCGTTCGGAAAATCTATTTGTTCGATTTCACCGGCCGAACTTTTCCATGAAAGGTAAGGACGTTAATGGAAGAGACGCTTGGAGAATCAGCGATTCGCGAAAGCTCGGCAACTTCGACGAAACTTCGTTTCTCTCCTCTTCCCTTTTTTTTATTCAACTATCTCTCGTCGATCAGACCTGCCATCTTCGTTAATCAACCGACCAACGATCGGACGCGCAACGAGAATTACAAGATAGCTCCTTCCACCCTTCAAGAGCGCAGATTCTATCTATTTCACGCGATACACGATAAAAATTAAAAAGCACGAAACCGAATTGCGTTTAAAGTTGCGATAAATTTTTTACAACGTTGCTACTGAATATTCTATCACCGTATTATAATATTCATAACGAATTCTTGATGAAGTTGTTTCGCGACGATGCACGTACGCGATGGTGATCTTTCCCCGAAATGATTGCGTGTGGAGATAAAATAATTCGCAATTCTCTGTCAGCGATACACACTATTCTAAAAAGGGTTTGATTCTGTTAAAAATGTGCCACGAATTAATTTTGTAAAATAAAATGAAATTCGAACGTTTCGCGGTGCTTGTTCGTAAAATAGAAAACGTAAAGGAAAAGAATTCGAATAAATTTCGCGATCATGTGAACGTGCGTGAAACGAGCGATGGCCATCGGTAACTAAACGATTCCTGATATATGCTACGCTGCTCGCGAATCGCTCTATCGGCGGAACGATAGTTACAATGGAAGAGAGGGACGCGACGAGCTTTTTACGAGGTTGAATGTAAACGTCGTAGACCACAGTCATCGTGGAAATACCGAAAGCTTATGGTCGACCGCGTAACGCGATAGAACAAAGCTCGAAAAGTTCAAAATTTCTCTCTTTCGTCGGTGTCTCTAACGTTCATTCTGTTTTTTTTTTTTCGTCAAGAGAGAATGCTTCGTTAAAAAATCGTTGAATGTCTCCGCAACTTCGTTTAGCAATTAATTCGCGTACGGTTGCGTCGAAATAGCATCGAACGATAAAATCAGATCGTAAATCCTTTCTCGAGGGCGTCGGTTAACGATAAACGTTAATCGCGGAGGACGATGAAATGCGAATCTACGATGAAAACGGGCTCGAGAAGTACAGAAAGAAGCCGTACCGCGTTCCCCGTCGATTGGCTTCCGACAATCAACGTAAACGTCCCGGTGAATCGCGGTTCGCTAAAACTTTGGTAAAACACTTGAGGCTGTACTGCAAATACAGCAATCTGGCTGGATTGAAATACTTCGTGGATCCGAAAATGACGTTGTCGGATAGGTAATTTGGCTGATCGAACGACTTGTGAATTTTTCAATGAAATCTGCCAACGTTTATAGAATTCTATTGATGGTGCTGTACTCGATCGTCGTGCCCATGATGATTTACACGATTTACTACCAGTATAAAGACTTCATCGATCATCCGTGCGTCACCAGCGTGGACACCGAACACTTCCCCACGCAGGATTTAGATTTTCCAGGTGAATTTAATGCACTTTGAAAGTCGTTTCTGACTTGATCAAGGCGTCGAAGGTTGGTTTTTTGGGAATTTGAAGCATTTTATTTCAGGCGTGGCGATTTGCAGCATTAATCGTATTAGTCGCGAGGCCGCTCTGGAAATGGCGAACGAAATGTGAGGAACTTCCGGTATTAAACGAGCACGCGTGCAATTCACGAAGAGTGCACTGTGGCCACCGTGCACCGTCCGCGACGCCGTTGAAAAAGTGCAATTGAATGGAGTCGGTTCATTGGACAGCACCAAATTACACTGCATAGATAATTTCGATTGTGGTCGACGTTGCATCGCGTGCCAACCGCCGGCGCTTCGAGCTAGAGTTGGCTTTTCATTTCGAAACAAATTGGACCGCTACTTCGAGTACGAAAATTCAATTTCAAGAACGGCATCGTGGAAAAATAATCCCGAATAAATATTTTTCGTTGATTACCAGGTAGTCGCGAGTCAGATTAACACTTTTACCGACCGATAAAACAGTTGATTAATACGCTATCGGTCGGTAAACGTCGACCGATAAAACAGTCGATTAATAGGCTATCGGTCGGTAAAGTGTTAAAAGAAAAGGTATTCGTTGAACGAGAATACATAAACACGTGCCTGGTTACGTTCAAATTCCCGAGAACTCCATTAATATGCAGTCTGCAAGACCTACTTTAAGTCTGCTTCGAAAAAATCTTCATTAATATGCAGTGTACACTCGCGGCTCTAATTAATTCCGGCCCGCAAAAACGCCCATTAATATTGAAACCGGGAATTTGCGATTTCAATTAATCGTAATTGGTAACAATGGGAATAAATATCTACCCCCTCCCTTGCTCCTCTCCTGTAATGTTATTCGTCGCGAAATATACGATAGACTGCCAACATTGCACCGCAAAAGCTCGTCAGTTGTTCCCGCGAAATAGAATTTTTAATTTCACGCGTATAACCGATGCGTTTCGAAACTCCTATCCCTCTGTTTTATCGTGGTTTATCGTTTACGTAGTTTCGCAAAAATTTCCCTGTCGGATTGAAAAATACGCGCAGCTTGCTTTTTAAATATTTCACGCATTCGACGGTTCCCCATGAATTTTTCACACAATTTTTTCAAGAGTATATACCACACCGAGCTAGCGTGTTTCGCAATAAAATGGAAAATCTGTGAAAACAGAATCAATTTTTCAAACAGAGTGCAGTATATTCTTATTATTATTGATATTCTTAGCTTCGAGCTAAACATCACCGATTTACCCGTCGAAAAAATTCAAGAAATGTTTTCGCAACTGGGCAACCTTTACGACTCCGAGTTTCGAATAACTGAACGATCGTACGAGATCGATGAACTTCTGGCCAAGTTTTATAAAGGTCCTTACGACGTCACCGACATACTGAAGCGCGTGAGTAATATTTATTAACGTTAGAAGAAGCTTGATATTATTATCAAAGGGATTTCAGCTAACGCCGCAATGTTCGAGCATGATTTCGAGGTGCCGTTTCCACGGCGAGAACAAAAACTGCTCGAGTGTGTTCGAAACTCGCAAAACGCAGGACGGATTCTGTTGCACTTTCAATTACGCCATCAAAAAGGACGACGCATACTTGTGAGTTTCGGGCAATTTCTAATTTCTACGGACAACGTATATTTCTTGTAGAATTTACGCGCGTTACGAGTGGAAATTCTCACTTTTTAAAGAATATATCGCACCGCGGGAGGAACTCGAGAACCGAGAATTCACTTTTCGCGCGGAGTGCATGTAAAGTCTCGACGTTTCGTGTTTCGTATCTGTTCCCATCCACGATGCAGCTTTCTTCTATCCCTTTCTTTCCCCCTCGAAATTATTTCGCGGATAACGGCACCGTTTCGTGCACGCAACCCTCTACTTTTTCGTTCGCGTATTCTCGTTTTCCTGTATCTCCGTAGGAACAATGGCGTCGATCTGAGGCTAGATCCACTGAAGGTGGAAAACTTTGGCGAGGACCAGGGACTATCGGTCTTGCTGGAACCGCTCCTAGACGATTACTTCTACCCTATTTTTCCCATCACCGGTTGGAAGGTAAATACGATCGAAATCCTCGGAATTTCCCAGGAGAAAATTCTAAGATAATTTTAGAATTCAAGAATATTTACCACGAATTTTTTAAACCTTTCTATTATACTTTGATATTAGTCTCTATTCAGCGAACTTCATCGCTTCGCTAAAGCCGCGCGTTGATCGAAAATCAAACAAAGTGCGTCGATGAGTTAATTACCCATTAATTGTACCTTCATTGCTCCGACGAATCAAACAACTCGGTGATCTCCGGCGTGAATTAATATCGAATCGCGTCGACGGCCTTTCAATATTAAAACCGGTAATCGTGTCCCGGGGAATTCGACGCGAAGATATATCTTGTTTAAAACAAAACACGGCTGCCTTTGTCATGCATTAAGCTTATAATCCCCCGATACGGCGCTAAATAAGCTTTGTTCATTCCAAAACTAGAAACCGATGTTTTTCTGGATATAGAAATGCATTGCACGATACACGAATACTTTAAACGCCCTTTCAAAGGTTTTGTATATGAATATTAAACCTTTGAGCCGTCAAAAATTTTGTATCTTACGCTTTAAACATGATAATTAAAAAAAGATTAAAATTTCCAACAGGTGATGGTTTTTAACCCTCACGATTATCCGGACATGAACAGTGGCGGGCTGATTGAGATTTTTGTGCCCTTGGAAACTCACCAGGACGTGGAACTAGACGCGATCGTGTCTTACGGAACAAAAAATATATTACCGTACTCGTTGGAGCACCGGAAATGCGTGTTTCCCGAAGAAATGACTTCGCCGGATGCCTCTTACACTCACAGCGACTGCCTCGTCGAGTGCACAATCCAGGACGTATGGCACACATGCAGATGCATACCGTTCTATCTGCCGAATCATGGTGAGACACTGCACTCAGGTTTCGACTGGAATCAAAATTTACCAATATAGTGCTGTCCTAATTTTTAAAATTAAAAGAAGACCACTTGATCTCATAGAGTGAGGTTTGAAACATATAAAAATTTTAATAGTTCATAGCGTTCTAACCGATTAAATTTACTACCAACGTTTTAACTAGCTTAGAAAAAGTACGTCCCTGCATAGAAACCACACGAAGCTTATATCGTAGATTACATGCTGCAGAAACGACGCGATATTAACGAGTGTGTACACATTTTCCCGACCTTTGATTAATTTTACACGAGTTATTTACCGAGCAAATTCCCTTCAGAAACAAACTGGTAAGCTACGCCGTCGGCGTCCCTTTGCTCGTCATATTTAACAAAATTCTGCATGCCAGGCGGCTCGTTGGCGAAAGGATCAGCTTAGGCGAAAATGGAGACGCACGACGAGCCACGTTTTACGCCGAAAGACGCGCGAAAGGATTTCAGGTTTCTGGATTTTTCACCGCGTATTATTTTTTAAAGAGGAAATATCGCGTAACTTTTTTTGTCACTGTCGTGGCTTAACGAGTTTGAGTAATTTTTAAGAGACCAAAACTTATCTTCGAACGAAGCTACTTCGGTTGCGTAACTTTATAGTTTACAGAGTTACTCGATGTTCGTTAAATAAGTCAGGCGCCCTGGGAGTTGAGAAACTGAAGAGTATCTCTAGTAATTTAGAGTACCCTTTAGTGCATTGTATTTTCAAAACCTGTCTTCGGTTAAAGCCCCTTCATCGACTAAGTTTGCCTCCTATTTAACGATACTCTTCTCACAATTAATTCTAATTTCCAAATATATTTCATTGGTTACCCGTTCCAATTCGATCAAAGTTACGACCTTTGAATAATTCAATGCCCCCCTTTTCAGATTCCAAGAGGGTCTGCAACTTACAGGACCTGCCGTGCTTGTCAATGCACAAATGTAAGCACTTTCGAAATCGAAACTCGCATAAATTATGAACCCCCGAACTGTTTAGTATTCGCAGCCGCATCGCGTTGCATTCCGCGCGAACCACGGCTGATTAATTAACACGGCGATAGTCGCGGAAATCAAGTCCAAATCGGGTTTAATTGTCTGCCTCGAAGGGAATTGATTTTTTTCAGATAAATGGTACACCGCCGTGCCGAACGCAGATCTACAAGATGTCAAAAACAACACGCAGATCTTGCATTGCAGACGATGCTACCCTTTATGCACCGACGTCACCTACAATGCAAATACGTTCGAAGCTCGTCTGAACCGTGGTCGCCATCAAACCAAACTGTTGTAAGTATCGAGACAAAATATTAATGAATCGTCTAATCGTTCGAACGATTTCAAGGGACGGCGTCGACTGCGTGCAACAAAGTGCAGTGCACTTGTATTTCAATCATTTCGGGACGATAAAATTGAAGCAGAACGTGGTCAATCAGTGGTACGAACTTTTGAGTGAGTATTTTATATCGGACGAGATAATTAAGTTTTGCTTTGCCTGAATGTCGTTAAAGGGAGTTGTAAATAAAATTGCAAAGGATTCGAATTTGGTTGTGCAACGCATGGATTCGTAGCATAAAGTTTCCGCGCGAATGTAATCGGTTGCCCCCGAGCCAGAGGAAATAAAAGCGAAACGAAACTGCTCCGGTACGAGTTGATCCATTATGTTACAGACACACTCGCCCGGTACGTGTTACAAGTGGTGTAATGCACTCGGGATAAAGGACTTACTATCTTTTGTTGCGAGGATCCGCCTAGACCGTGGAGCGCACCAAAGCGGAACGTTTTTGCGTCGCGGCGTGACGACGTGCATAATTTCGCGTCCGCGTAACAGAAAAATATTACCACTCTTCTTACGTGGTTAACAGGATTTTAGATACGCAAATTCGATGGAAATTTCGTCGTTGAATAAAAGCGGGAGATTTGGTCCCCTAAGCGCCCGAGGGATTATAATTGTAAAAATGTTCCTTGGACGAAGCAAAATGTTTTTACTACAAATTAATCGGCCGTGTTTTATCCCATTCCCCGTTTTGATTCGAACTCTGTGACTCTTACGTTGAAAATTGTATCTCAGAACTGGCGAATTGGCAATTTTATCGTCGAACTTTGGAATATTAGCAGAATTAAAGCCGAAGTCACGCCGAACAATGAAGCAAGTTGGAGGGGTTCGATCGTCAAAATAAAGCGTTCGTATTATTTTCCAGGCGAAGCCAGCGGCATTGGTGGCATCTTTATTGGTTTCAGCCTCATTGCCATCGTGGAGTTCGGCTACTTCGTCGGGCTTTTCGCGTGGGAGCTTTTAAAGGGACCAACATCCTCCGACGGTATCGATAATAAAACTAAACGTAAACGGCCGGCGTTACAGATAATTTATTGGGGCGAATTGTATCCGAGAACGAGACCCGATATAACAACAAACCGGCACGGTCGATTTACCAATAAATATTAGCGTTAGTTTAAAATATTTTCAACGGGGGCAAATAATTTTGGAACTTGCTTACACTGGGAACAATTTCTGATAAACAATATGAACAATAGTCGGCTCTCTTTGAAGACTCATGGGAGTTTCTAAACACTAAACATATCGATATTTCATGTATACCCATTCCCTAATGACCAAGTAATTTTTGCATTATATGTATAGTAAGTTGTGTTTTGAATTTTATTTCGTAAGATATTTTACTTGAACTTTACTTGTAATTACGCAAACATCCTGTGTGCAAAGTTAAATTCATTCTCAATTAAATGAACAATTTATAATCTAATTTTATCGCACGTATAATCGATAAGAATTGCTGAAACAGTTTTTGGTATGTAACGTCAAAGTAAATTGCAAAATAAACATAGAAGACAGCATAAATTATGGTAGTTGGTATAGTCATTGGATAGGGGATGAAATGCCCTTTAAAATGAGAGGTCGTACGAGTCGATAGCTTAATTAGTTCCGAAGATATAGCGATTTTAATTTCAAGTCGATGCGCTGGCCAGATGCGGAAGCGCGGGATCAATGAACTCTCGCGCGCGCATCAAAAGTAAACAATGCGTAGTAATTTCTTGGAAATACTACGCCCGAGAAACTAGGTCACGCCAGTCACGTTCGTGAGGTAGGTCAGCACGATGCACGTGCGACAAAGAGGTCCGACGCGCCAGACAAAGACAGAGATAGTCCAATTAAAAAAATTACCTTTTACATAACTTACGATATCTCGAAAACGGAAAGTCCGATCGTCAAAAACGAAAAGCCATTTTAAAGGGGAGGCTTTGCCGTTTCTAACAATACCTTAATAATTAATAAAACGCTAATAGTTTCGGAACTGCACAGGTCTAAACTTTTAGTATTTTTAATACGCGTGAATAGGCTATTGTACACGCGGCGGACAGTGAGAGAGGCGGATTAAGAAAAATTACCTTTTACATAAATTGCGATATCTCGAAAACGGAAAGTCCGATCGTCAAAAACCAAAAGCCGTTTTAAAGGGGAGGCTTTGCCGCTTCTAACAATACCTTGATAATTAATAAAACACTAATAGTTTCGGAACTGCACAGGTCTAAACTTTTATAAGAAAACTAGTGAAGTTAAATGGCGCTAAATTATGATTGTATGTTAGAAATTCTAAATATTAATATAAAAAACGGTCATTTGAACGTCGTGGTAGGTTTAGCGTTAAAGTCTGTTTGAGCCTCCGTACGATTTAATCAAGTTTCGCGTGTCTTAGAATTTAATAAAGCATGTTAGTTAATGTCGATGAAAGATGCCAACGTGGCATCGGTTATGAAAGGAAAAATTTAATAAAATCCGTCCGAAAGAATGAGTTTAATTAAATTTGTTAGCACTAGCTAGACTGTTAACGTGCATTTCCTGGAAACGTGTGTATGGGAGGGCCATATTGCGAGTTTTAATTATACAAATATACCAGAAACTTTCTGCACGCGCGGGGGCCATTATTTCAACATTTCTATAAATATGGCGTGTTCGTATTAATTAACGGGTTGAATCGATAATGAGCATTAACGTTAATTATATGATGTAACGCGACGTCGAAACATTTCCTGTTTTCATTAAAAACATAGAGAATTTGTAATGATACAAGCGATCGAAATAACTCGAGTGGAATTCGTTCGTTTTATTTATACGTTGCAGGCTGTTGTTTCTTTAATGAAAGAGGCTTTATTTAATCAGGCAACTGTGCTATAAATCAAACCAGGTGCCGCAATTTATTAGCGCTTTATTCGTCGGTCTCGCGAGATCCGCCATGAGGAACGTATAATCAGACGTTGAGTTATAGTTTTATAAACGCGTGCGTAAGTTTCCGAGGTTCATCATGCGAGGCTGTATAATTATCTTTTAAATCCCCATCCAACCCACTCGGCTGTCGGCGAAATAATGCTTTTATATTCGTCCACCCTTTAACCCTTCGAGCCGAGCTTCTCTGCAACGTATCGATCTAGAAATTGTTCATGTTTGCGAACCAACACTAGCAGTCGACTTATTCTACCGAAGTTGATTCGACGCGTGTACTCATTTCGGGGTAAAAAAAAAAATAAAATAACGAAGCGCGCGAAAATGCTGTAGATTGTAACAGATTCGTCAGGCAAAAGAGCAGCTGTTACGCTATTATTTCGACACAGCAGACATTGACATTCCCGGGATTTTTGTTCGGCAACTTCGATGTTGCGTTGTCGCATCGACGGAGCGAAATTGATCCGTTTCCGTGACGTTAGTTTCATTCAATCGTGACTGATATCTTTAAACGCGTGTTCGCGGAAAAAGAATAAAAAAATCAAGCAGAAATCGCGCCGCGTTTAATAAATCGTTACTTTGTCGCTGCGTGGCATTGTTCTCTAATTATCTGTGAATTTCGAAAACACATATTGAATATGGGGAGATAAACGAACGTCGGATTGCTCTCGCGGCGCAGAAGGAAAATGAACGGCGCCCAGCGATACGCGCACGCAGTTACATTGATTTCCACAAAGCTGCACGGAACAACAAAGGGTTCCATGGAAGCATGCAGTTCCCGTTCCGCGAATAATCGCCTGGTCTGATCTAATACACAGCCCCGACGTGATCGCAAGAAACAAAGCCCCCGACGCACCGTTACTAATTATTTATTCCGGCTATGCTTTGATACAAGGGCCAAAACCACCATTCAGAAAACTATTTACGAAGATTTTTATGATTCGTTGATGTTCGTTAAATGTCGCAAACATAAGCGGCCGAATAATTTCGGTATTTATTTTACCGCGGATGTGTACGTTGTCCAGTAATTATGTTCTAGTACTAATGATTGTGTACCTTCGGCTGTGTAAACACCGAATGTTGATTTAAATGTTTGTTTGTAATGCGTTTGTAATTGTATCTATTTTCTAATGTTTGTTTGCATTTGATATTTTCGAGAACGTGTCGGACTTGTGCCTCGCTAATGGACAACGAGTCGAAGCAGAAAATTGCACATTGCATTAAAGATTACTTCGACAGGGGGTTTTCTTAAATTACATTTACAGTAGATTAACTGCGACCAAAGTAACGCTGGTCTATCGCTCGTAAACTGACCGTATCCGAGAGTAAAGGCAACAAAACACAATTTTCATCAATAAAATATTCAGACTACTTGTTTACGCGGTAAAACGTTGAATAGTTTATTCATCGAAATACTGGCAAAAGTAGACGCAGCGCTGTTTGGCACTAAATTAATAGATTGAAATTACTTCTCTTTTATGATCGTAAGCGGAACAACAACGCATAAAATTCCTCGAAATTGACGAATAACGCGTTTGCGATTGCTTCGCAAGTCTGGCTGTAAGCCGTGTAGCACCATAAATCTTGTATCGCGAATCATGGAGCACCGTAAAGGGAGGATAAGCCTTTAGTACCACGCACAGACGTTCGAGGATCAACGATAGAATGGTCGGAGGCGTGGACAGGAGGTAAAACGGTCGAGTCTCGGATATTCGATTAACGTCGTGTAAACTTGATCTAATTTACGTGCACTCGGGGTTTGCAAGGTTGCAACCAACGACAGCTACGGCTGCATCTCCCTGCTTATAATAGATTCACGAGCGTCACGGCCGACGAACGACGCATTTTCATAACGAGACACGTACGCAACGCGATAGGGTAGTCGTGCTTTCAACGACCTGCCGTCGGATACGCTGGATTAGGAAAACTGGGAGGCCCATTCTAGTCACGAACCTACCACCTGACGAAGTTCTGAACTTTTACGACCTTAATAATCTAGCTACAGGCAAAGTTCAAGGCCAGTCGGCGCGATAATCTGCGTCGTTCACTTGTTGAACAAAGATTCACGTTTATCTGATTTATTTCTTGCGATTAGTACCCCGACGCGGTGAAACTGAAGGCAGTATCGGTTTTAACCCGTTCCGCGCGAGACAGAGATAATAATTATAGTTTTAACGATTATTTTAATCAGAGACCTCCATTTATCGGATGATAGGTGTCTTCGGATTATCCCTTCTACTGCTGTTTATTGGTTCGAATACCTAATAGGAGTTCAGCGACATGTTCGGTAAACCAGACACTGTGACGACATTAGTCCGGACAAATGGAATTCGGATTAACGGAGTTCTACTGTAATTAGACCGGTTAATTTCGACGTTAACGCGATTTTAATACAGTTTTCTGGTTCTATACGATATATGCGGTGTGTAGAAAATCCATTTTTCATCGAACAGGTAACTTAATATTCGATCGAGAGATACAACCTCCCAACAATAGGACAAATAGCTGACCGTACGAGAGATAAGCAGGCTACAACCATAATTTAACGATGCAAGATACGCGACCTTTGCGAAGACGAATCACAGCATTGCATAGGCGACACGTGTAATACGCAAAACAAACTAGCGATCGTTTTTACGATGTAAAACACTGCGCTGCACGCAGTCGTCGAGGAACTCCTAAAGGTGGAGCCTAACTGCGAAATATACTATCGTTTCTATCACGGTGAGTCGTTGGAGCCGTCCAATACACAGCATGTTTGAATTTTTTAAAACAAGCTCGTTTCGTTTTGAATTGAAATTTGGAATTTTCTCGTATTGTTACCGATGGAACAACGTTTCGTTTATTTCACGTTACGCGGGCCCCATTGTGGATATTTCGAGTTGTTCCTACGAACGATCGCGGCTAATTACATTTCCCGTTTTCGTAGGATTTGAAGCGTGCACGCATTTGTACGAATACCTCGTGGTTCTCGTTACGGGGAACGATGACTACAAGGAATAGCGAAATAGCGACTGTAAGCCCGCAACACAGAGGAAAACTCGGCCTTTCGTACGGCTGGGTTTCCCCAACTTTACGCAAACGGTTCGCGCAATCGAGCTGCTTTCAAACGTTTATAAAATACTTGAAGCAGTACTGCAAACATTCCAGCTTGGTGGGCCTCAAGTATCTCGCGGAGGATCAAGCAACGTGGTTCGACAGGTAAATGAAAATTCACACCAAGTTTAACGACACGGAATCAAAGAAACTGTAACGTTTCCTTCAAACAAATGAAACGCGTTGATTTTGTGACGCGTCGAAACGCAAATTCGATAACGAGTTCCTTATTTCACGAGGTAAAGCAGCAATCGACGCGCTTTACGACGACTTTTACGTATTACTCTTTATGGGAGTTTCCGTTGCGATCGGGCGTGCTTAATAGCGATCAAACGCGTTTTACGTTCTCCGGAAAAACGCTTGCAAACTTTGCTTGTTTACCCTCCAACGAGACTTTCGCGAAACTTTACAGGACACAGAGAATGCTCAATAATTAAGGAATAATAATAGGTCGAAACGGTTAATTGGAAAGCTGATTTTTTGAACATTTTTAGAGTCGTGTGGATCGTTGCATACGTGTGCACTATATTCGCGATGATCTTCTTTTCCCTGGTGGTTTATCAGGAGTTTATCGACACACCCATAACGACCACGTCCGAGGCAGAGCTCTACCCCACCGAGAATTTGCAGTTTCCAGGTGGGGTATCGTAATTTATAAGAAAGTAAACACAGGAATTTCTCTAATAAATACTCGATCTGCAGAAGAATGGACAAACTCTAATTTTCTGCACTTACAGGCGTCGCTATCTGCAGCATTAATAGAATAAGTCTTCGAATGGTCAAAGAACTGGCGACTGAAATGTAAGGATCGAACACGATGCACAAAATTTCACTTGAAAAATATAATCGCGACCTAATTGTTTCTAACATTAATAAATACGAAGGATTCATTGATCTAGGCTCGAAATTTTGAACGGAAGTTGAGAGTAATATATGGACCGTTCATTTTGAAAGTGGTGTCCATTTTTGAAAAAATAATTCATGCTTAATTTAATGTAAATTTTTTATGCATAACTAGTCCGTGTTTAATTTCGTAAAAAATTCCCATATTTTGTAGAATTTAAAATTGGTTGATAAATGAAATTGCATAATCATGCCACTATTAAATTGTATTAATATCTTGTAATTTTAGCAATGTAATTAGCGTCTAAAATTAAAGATACTACTTCTATTTTATGTCGTGTTATTATTTGAAAACGAATTTGGATCAATACGAAGTATATTTTAAGTGATATTTGATTTTTCAAAATTGAAATTAAACGACTTTTACAATTGTCTTAAAATTTCTATAACCAAATTACATATTGAAACATTGCCAGACTTCGTATAATTTGCCTGAATTTTTTAATTAACAGATATGTGAACCTTTAATTCTCTCGAAACGAGAGAAAATGGACTTCAAAATAAACGGTCCATATATAATAGAGAATTGACTATCGACTTTACATTAAACTTTAATCCAGCTATTTTAGAACGATCACATTTCTAGAAGCTTATTTTAAAATCCTCTCTCAAATTATTTAGCATTTCTATGATTACACTTTGATATTACGCTAATTGGGATTACTTAATATTTTATCTGAGAATCAATTTTTCACGAGGGAATTTTAATTAATTTGGAGACAGATATAACGCGAATATTTCGAACTTGTCTCTCGACGAAACTCTCGAGGTGCTTTGGACGCTTGGTGATTTCTACGAGACGTCGAACGCGAAGGCTGACAATTACACGCAACTTACTCAACTGCTGTCCAAGTTTTACGATAACGATTACGACATCGCCGAGCTCATGATGCGCGTGAGTAGCGTTTAGCTTTGTAATTCGCGTATTAACACTTTTACCGACCGATAAAACGGTTGATTAATACGCTATCGGTCGGTAAGCGTTGGCCGGTAAAACAGTCGATTAATAGGCTATCGGTCGGTAAGCGTTGGCCGGTAAAACAGTCGATTAATAGGCTATCGGTCGGTAAAGTGTTAATTATAAAACGCTCCCCGTTACGAACACGGCGTGTTAACAGCATGAACGAAATTTCAGCTGACCCCGGACTGCTCCGCTATGCTTGTGCTCTGTTATTTTCAAAACGAGAAGCAGAACTGCTCGGACATATTCACGGTCAGCCAAACGGAGACTGGATTTTGTTGCACTTTCAACTACATCCCGGAAAGATACGACTCGCGCGAGTAAGTTCGAACCAAATTACTAACTTTACATGGTATTGACAGTGTTGAACAAACTCGACAGAGCAACGATATCATTTTCACCGCGTCGGGTAGAACACGTGGGCAAAACGAGCGGTTTAACACTGATGTTGGACCCGCTGATGGATGATTACTTTTACCCCATTATCTCTACCACGGGTTGGAAGGTAAATTTCCCGAATAATCGTTGAAATTTTCCACCGAAACATCACTGTACCGTTTCATACCTAGCAATTCCGCGACCCTAATCGTTTTCTTCCCCGCTCTCGGTTATCAACGATTATCGTATTTTCCGCTGATAAAAAGTCAACGAAAGTCATTAGCGGCACGATGCGCCATTTCGCTGCACATTGTAAAAACCATGGACTAGCGTTGCAATCGGTTCGGACCAGTTGCTACATTTCCCTCGAACCGTTTAACGACTCTCCCGCGATATCTCATAATGTAATTTCTATTTACGACCCTCTGTAATTAGTTTTTCGTGATTATTCGGCAGGTGATGGTGTTCGATCCCTACGACTACCCTGACACGACCACTGGCGGCGTAGTGGAGCTTTTGCTGTCTCCATTGAACGATAAATACGTGGAACTGGACGCGTTAGGGTTGCACAGCAGCGAGAACATTCGTTCATATCCGATCGAGAAACGCGGATGCTACTTTCCGAACGAAAGGCCATCGATCTCCGCGATATACACCGCCAGCGATTGCATAGTTGCCTGCAAAGTAGCCGATATATGGAAGAGCTGCAAATGCAGACCGTTCTTCTACAATCCACGGCCCACGGAACGTTAGTGAACAAATTCTGTACAATTTTTTTTATGTTAAAATTCGCGTCAAAGGGAATACACGTAACGATATTTCGGTATTAACAAAACACGGTCGATGCGTGTTTCGTTAAATAACAAAAATTTCATCAAAAGCGCGAAATATGCTTTTGAGAGAGAGGAATAATAATTTTATAGAGATCGACGCAAAGAACGAGGAAATTGAGGTAATGCCGATATCCGTAGATATTCTCATCGCGATAGAACGTATTTCCGGATGGAAACAATTTTACTTTGTGCCCAATAAATCGTACAATTATTATTCTATTGGTCATTCAGGGTCCAACAGGACTTGCACCATGGAGGACATACCGTGCTTAAGGGAGTACAAATGTGAGCGACTATTTTACAATTACACTGTAGAATTTAACACTTTACCGACGTAAGCGTTGATCGGTAAAAAAGTTGATTAATACGCTATCGGTCGGTAAGCGTTGGTCGGTAAAAAAAGTCGATTAATAGGCTATCGGTCGGTAAAGTGTTAATATGCAAGAATATCTATATTCCAACGACGTTGAATGATTAGAAATGAATTTTTACAGGGCAAACAGAAAATGCTTATTCATTACTGAGATTCGAATTACAATATATTACAATATATTGTTGAAATTGAATATTAATGTACCATATATTTGCATATTATTCGTGTAAAATTTGCATATTATGGCATAAATCTTCTTGCATATTTACTGAACATAAACATTCACAATCTATATTAATAATTAAGGAATTTAAATACCAATACACTAAATTACTAAATATTACACTCTTTTTCTAAACTCAGATAAAAGACTTTCGATAGTGCCTTACCCGGAAAGAACATTAAACTCTTTGGTAAACAATAACCAAACGCTGTACTGTAAAAACTGTTATCCTTCATGTGACGAAATTTTTTATCTGGCCAAGAGCACTGTGTTCGAACTCAGGAGTGGCTACTTTAAAACGACCCTACTGTAAGCTCAACTGTTCTATATTTCTCAGCCAGATTGAACTATTAAATTAATATTGATGATCCTTAGCGACAACGTTAACGTAACAAATCACAGTATCCTTCGAGTGTATTTCGGGAAAGTTGGAACCGCGTATCTGAAACAAGATGAGAGCTACCGTTGGTACGAGTATTTGAGTGAGTATAATTCAAATATTCTATTGGAAAATTTGTTTACAGGTTCAAGTGTTAACAAACAGTGTTTTACAGGTGACGCTGGCGGAATATGCGGATTTTTCGTCGGTTTTAGCCTAACCAGCGTGATAGAGATCGTTTACTTTAGCGTGCTCTTTCTATTGGAGATATTTAACCCTAAAACCGATCCCGAAACTGCGGGGGAAGACGAGAATCCACATAATCAACTCTCGATACAAGCTGTTTACTGGAACGAGCTATTTCCACGTTCGAGAATTCGAGAACAATGATCTCGATGTTCCTGCTTCTATTTGCCTAGCCAATAGCAATAAAAATTCGATCGAAATACATTTAGTATCGTTTGAGGGTTCTTCAATTTATCTAACAGTCGATTAGAATACATCTGTAATACAAGCGATAAAATATCTAACATTTTTCACGAACGAACCGCATTTCCATCGATCCCCCGTCTACGTAACCGAAAGATCGAACCTCGTTCGCGTTGATAGAACTCTGGGTTATAAAATTGTGAACACGTGGAGCGTCTGATATTCGACAAATTTCAGTTTCACGGGAAACAATTTGCCAAACTTGAACTCGAGCATTCGATAGGAGTATAACTTTCCACCGCAAGAAGAATGTACTCCGAAAAAGTTATCATAACCTTTCCGTTCAGGGGGAGAGAAGATAATACAGCGATGTCGAGGAATGTTATCACCAAAGGAAGTATAGGACGGAATAGAACAATGTGTTATCATAGTAACTCGATGACATGATGAAAATATATAAGAAATGTACAAATTTTAATTGTTATAAAATTATCTCTATATTAAATCTTACCAATCCTTATCGGTCCATTCGATGTTGGCATTATTGGTGGATTTCGATTTTTCCAAGTGTAGGGGCCTTGATTGCTGACAACTTGCCGTGTGTTTCAATCCCAATCAAACAAATAAAAATGATAAAATGTTAATAAGTGGAGTGGACTTACTACTTGTTGTCAGTAGATAAGGTAGTTACCATTGGGCCAGCTAAAAAGTAAGAAAATATTCATATTATTGCAACATCAGTTAAACAAGGAAGGCAAAATTAGTTTATTTATGCGAAATTGGTATCAAAAGATAGAATAGGAGAGGGTCATCACCGGTCAGTAGTGGTCAGTAGTGGTCAGTAGTGGTCAGCCATGGTCAGTAGTAACCAGCAGCGGCCAGCAGAGGTCAGCAGCGGTCCCCCGGTTCACTTCTGGCCATTTGTACGCTCCCGAATTCACGACGAGACTGAAGAATTCTTCGCAATGACCTTGCTTATATGTCTAAGGTGCTGAAAGAGTGGGGAGACTAGTCAGAGCCTAAGTTAAAGCTAACAGTTAGGACTGTCTTGTCTACAAAGAAACTATTTCGATTTATCCTACCTCTTGACCATTTCTCGATCTTCACTGGTCCGATGACCTTGATATCAATACGTCATCATCGTATACCTCGTCTGTCACTTATTATCGTGAACACGAAATCACTGACACGAAATAGAAACGTTCTCCTCTAATAATTCCTCTAATAAAAATGCGTGTCAAAGATTTTCGTGCTTGGAAGCATATTTTTATGTCTCTGTACTTAGAGAACGCTATAAAACTATACTTACGAGGCTACTAGTTCAATTCAACGAAGACAAATTTCATATCACAAACGAATCGAAATACGAATTCGATAGGATGCATTTATGGTGTATACATACGTTAGAAAATGGAAATACCTGACCAGTCGAGACTCGAAATCGTATACTGATTGAAGCAAGTCGAAATTCAGCAGTTTTGAAGAGCAAGAAGCCTCACATTCGCCTTTTTTCTCGAATCTCCGCAGCTGACCGCCATTTCAAACCTCACATCACAAGCATCACATCGCAACTGCGCCAAACGCGCGCGAATGGTAGAAATACTGTATCGTTGCGCCACCTATCGGAGAGAAGGCAAACTAAATTCAATATCCATGGGGTTGACCTACAATCGAAGAATCTACAGAAAAAGAAAGAAGCGTCCACTTTAACGAATTAATTACCTTCATACGAGCTAATCAACTGTAAATTTAAACTATTTTATATAAAACTCCGGACCATTAGCTAATATTTTTTTCCTCTCCACCTAATGTCGCTGCAATGCTAAGACTGCAGTGTCGCCACATGTGGCACCTTTGATTGGTGCCCTCTGGTTTAAAACATTAACAATATTAAATATTACACGTATCTTACAATTTTTCGATCATTGCTCTAATGAAATAACGACGAACAATGTAACAATGAACAATTGTTTCAATCATCGATCCATTCCTGACAACGATCGTACAGTGAATGCATCAATGATTGGGCGCATGGTTATTGGCTTAAAACAAGTACTATAGTAGATGGCGGTCACATAGAGCATCACTGAATTGCAAAGTCGTCGACTTTCTATACTAATTCGAAAAATTTGTGACAGTAAAGTGTGTTGTCGACGCCCAGTTACTCGTGAGTGTTTCGGTTAAATTTCATATATTACATTCCTTGATGCAGTACGCTTTCTACTACGTTGAACCGTGAAAAATGCAATTGGATGTATCTGGCCATATATTTGGATGATATTGCTTAGGAAGAAAAACTGATATATTTGACGGAATATCTAAAATGGCGATCTGAAAACACAATTATTTCATAGGAAACCTATGTGTGTAATCGGTTGGCTCCCGTTGAAATTTGTCAGACGCGATTCTAGTTTCTTGTGCAGAAAAGATTCATTTCCGTGAAACTTTCACGAGAATGCATTTAATTTTCTTTGCTCGGGGAACACACGACCGAACGTTACGGGACGTGATCGAACGTGACCGAATGTAATGGAACGTAACGAGACTTGACGGAGACTCGACGAGACTAAACCAAGACCGAACACTATGGAACGAAATCAGACAAATATTCATCTCGTGTGGCTGACAAGTAATCCCGTGTAAGAAAGCTTTCCTCTTGTCGAGCTAAGAGCCTCGTTTAGTAATATACTGCTCATTTCTCTGTACAGAAAAATTAAACGCTGAACAAGAAAAATGCAGACAATTAAGTGCGTCGTAGTGGGGGACGGTGCAGTAGGTAAAACTTGTTTGTTGATTTCATATACCACCAACAAATTTCCATCTGAATACGTTCCAACAGTATTCGACAATTATGCCGTAACTGTAATGATTGGGGGAGAACCGTATACTTTAGGATTATTCGATACAGCTGGTAATTGGAAATTTCTTTCAATTTATTACAAATCTAATCTACCTCCGAATGAGTTTACTGATAACCGTATCGTGATAGATTATCTTCTATATGTCCGAATAATTGTACCAGTACAGTTTCAATTACACCTAATTGTTTCTTCAAAGGTCAGGAGGATTACGATCGTTTGCGTCCTTTAAGCTATCCTCAGACCGACGTATTTCTTGTCTGTTTTTCTGTCGTGTCGCCCTCGTCTTTCGAAAATGTTAAAGAAAAGGTATGTGTGTGAAATTTGGCGCTAGGTTAGTCTGTAATCATTACGGCAAAACATCCCAACGAATCAATTAGAAATCTTTTGCCAGTGGGTTCCAGAGATAACTCATCATTGTCAAAAGACACCGTTCCTATTGGTTGGTACTCAGATCGATTTGCGAGACGACGCCGCGACGATCGAGAAACTTGCAAAAAATAAACAGAAACCTATATCGGCGGAACAAGGAGAAAAGCTCGCCAAAGAGCTGAAAGCGGTGAAATACGTCGAATGCAGTGCTCTTACACAGGTATAACGAAATCTGTTATAAATTTGTTTTACGCGGTTGATTGTTTATCGATCGTTCTAATACCTATTCTCTCGCATTTCAGAAAGGCTTGAAAAATGTGTTCGACGAAGCGATCCTAGCAGCTTTAGAGCCTCCGGAGCCAGTGAGAAGAAGACGATGTGTCATCTTGTAGAGCAGAACCTACATCCTCTCTGAAATCTATTAGCGCTATTCAGCCGAAGACTGTGAGTTCCATCGTACGGTGCATGCAAGAACATTTTTCGACGATCGGTAGTTCCGATATCCGAGTATCGGTACAATTCATCTTTCGTTTCTGACGCATTCGATACGTGCTCGACTTGAACGAAAAAATTCACACAAAAAGATGAGGAACAGACATTTTATATATAAATGGAGATCCGTATAAATGTATAGTATACGCATTTCCAGCCATCGATCCGTTCGTTGAATAAATATAAGCAATGACCGGTTTCGCTTATATCGATTCATGGCAGCGAGCATTGATACTTTGACGATCGCACGAAAGAAATGGCATAATCACCGAGATTCTACGAACATCCATACGATTTTCGTAACAAAACATTTGCAAAACATTCAACTATTGTGTAAGACGTTTTTATTGATAAATTGGTAGTGTGAATTTTTTAATAAATCAGTTTTAAAAAACGATTCGAACCTATGAATACATTTCTCACGATTTCTACTTCGATACGTATGTTGATCCTTTCCGCGTTTAATAGCCAAATTTTTGAAACATCCGTTAAATGCATTCTCTAAAAATTTATTTATATCGCCAAGAAAACCATATTTCTACGGACATCCATAAAAGATTAACACGGTGGTGTGGTTAAAGCTTTATTTACATTCGCTTTTTTCACGGGTGATATCGTTGAATGATTAATTAAACTATAGTACATGTAAAACTTGTTCTTAAATTTGGCCGTTTATTACCATGAATGTTTGGTATCTAACTTTGGATTGAAATCGATTACATTCGGATATCGAATGTTATCTTACTCTTCTACTCTAACACGTTGATACTTCATTTCTATATTTAAGTCGCTACAAGTACCGATTGCGATACACTGTTATTACACATGTACCTGGATAATGCACACGCCCAAATCGACCGTTGTCCAAATCGTCTAATACTCTTTTTTTTTTTGCGAAACGATGTATACTTCTATGGTTTTGCTTCCCCGTAAAAGAGGACAAAGCGATTACCACGAAACGTGTATCTCGGTGTACATACGCTTTCACGTACACTATCCGTACGTTTCAAATATAGAGAGGGCAAATTAATCTCGACTACCTGACGCGGGATGGTTCCTTCGATCCTCGCGTTTGAACACTTGTATTGTTTTCGTAATACAAAAAATACGGAATACTGTTTAACTGTGTCACCTATCTTTCCAATTATCTCTTTCGTTATCGCCTTTTTCGTTGTACTGCCGTTTACAACGATAGGTTTTCGAACATTTAGTCTTTCTCTCGTAAGCATAAAACGGAAATAAGTGGGGGAGGGGGGGGGGGAGTGCTTAGAGGAAACGGAAGAGACGACGGCAGAATATTGCACAAACGTAAACGACGAAAGTTGAAGCAAATACGAATCCTGGAGCGTACGGTACTGATTGTATCGCATTCTTACAGACACTCTAACGAAACAATTTAAGGTAATTTGTTTTGTACGAAACCGTGGCGCTAATCGAAATAAAATAACTTTGGTTCACGATACACATTGTACCTGTTCTTTTCTCGCCATGACATTCCTAATTACTGTATCAATTCCACCGCAAATATCGAATTAAATTTGAATCGTCAGCTATACACTTACACGCATACATAAACGTCTTGAAACGTACTTTGGTTTATACTTGTGGTTAATTAGCGTACGTATTTTACCGTGACTAGAATCGATGACAACGTATGCACGTTGCCAGTGTGACACACGACGAAACAAAGTTGCTTTGCGGCATAACGCGCCGGGTCCTGAGACTTATTTTCTTTTGCTGCCGTTGGAAAGTTAATTTAATCGTGACGCGAGGGCTACCGTGATGCAGAAAACCGATCGTCGCATCGCTATCGCCATAAAGGAACGCCATTTGACACGCATTACGTATGCGTCGCGGCCCATCAAACACAATACGGCACGTAGAAGGGGGGTAAGGGTCTCTAACCGTAGGCGGATACTTAGCGTAGTAAGTTTACCGTAGACTCTGTTTACCCGAGTGGAATGAATGACCATGCATCGATATACAAACATATATGCCGCAGGCGTAGACCATTCGTTCGCGTATCCGGGAAACCCTTTGGTATATGAAACTTTACCGAAGTAAAGACTGTGTTTAAACGTTCATCGCATAGTAAACCGAATTCGGTGCATGGGTTGGCAGAGACACGCCTGTGGGATTGCGCGCCACGTAAGTGTTAGACGTGAGCAAAACTCCTGGTTGTGGAAGATCGTGAGAGGACGCGCTCGCGGCTCCTTCCGGAACGCCGCGCTCTATCACCGCGTAGGGCCCGAGAGCTTGTTGCTGTTGTAGCTTCGAGGGGGAGCAAGGGATTTGCAACGAAGACGACGAGGAACAGGAGGAAGATGACGAGGAGGAGAACGAGCAGGTCGAGGAAGACGAGGAGGACGAGGAGGACGAGGAGGACAACGAGGTGGCGGAGGTGCAAGGCGTGGGAACGGGTTGGTTGGCTACACGCGTAGGTTCGGGAACATGATTTGGAAGCACTAGGGTAGACGTTTGTTGAGGGGTGACCGTGACGGTGGGCAACGAGGAGAGGGGGGACGTGTACGAAGACGAGGTTGGCAACGAGGGTGAGTAGGTGGTGGCGCAAGAAGCGATCGTAGAGGAGGAGGAGGACAAGAACGTTTGAGCTGACTGGAGCTCGGAGGATGGTGTGACCACTGTGCGACCTAGGTGCACTTGATAGAATCGGTATGAACTCTCGGTGGTCGCAACCCCGGTGCCTGCGTACGTGGCGCATCTCGAGGGTGCGATCACGGTGTAGGAGGAGGAAGAGGGTGCCGTCGCGGCGGCGATGGTCGATGGTAATCGATAGAAGGTGGGCTGATGATGGTGTCGATGATGCTGATGCTGATGGTGGTGGACTTGCAAGGAATGGTTCGCGGTTTGGGGGACCGGCGAGAAGGCTACGCCGGAAATTCGGAAATCGTCCGGCTGTTGGTGATGGTGGAGATGAAGATGCAAGGTTTGTTGCGCTGGTTGCAACGCGATGGGGTTGGGAGACGAGATCGCAGCGAGTCGCGAGTCGAAAGGCGGGGAAGTTCCGGGCCCGGGGGGCACCGAGTGGCCGATCGAACCCGAAGGAACCGGTGAAGCAAGGTTGGTTTGCGTGATGTTCGATATAGGCGACAGCGAACGATTCCCTAACTGGTAATACTTGAACTGCTGTTGCGACGCGGGCAGTGGCTGGGGTTGCGTTTGCGGCCGATGATCGTTCTTGTTCGAGCAAGGGTACGGATACCGTTCGATGTGGCTGGCGTAACTTGGAGATGGATGGGCCGGTAGAATGCGTTGGATGTTCTGATAGGTTGGATCGGAGAGCCCGTTGTATGGGACGAAATACATGGTGCGATAGCACTTGCCGTTGCTGCTGGGCAACGTAGTGTTCGCGGCGGGCATTATGTTGCACCGATAATTCGAGAGCGTCGTTACGACGGGATCGCGACGCCGGGCGCTGGCGGCGTCGATGTCCTCTGCTCCGGCTGCGACGCCGCGCTGTGCTCGGGTATTTCCACCGTTCAATTGCTCTTGGAAGTATTGTTGGCCGTTTCTCTGCTCCTGATAGAAACGGAAGCTTGCATCGTGGTTGGCTGGTAGCTGCGCGTGCTGTCGCGCGTACGCGTCCTCCGTGCAGGGACCACCGTGCTCCAACGAACTCTGAGCAGCGACGTTGGTGTTCTCGACGATCGTTTGATAGATATCGTCGATCTGTTTCTGCATCGTGTTTATTCTGTTGATGGTGTTGGCGTCGCGGTCGTCGGTGACCAAGGTACCGATGATCGAATGCGGGACAGAGTCATCGATCGTCTCGTCGTACAATGCGATTCGACCGTCGATCTTGACGCAATTGTTCTCCTGATAGCTCGGCAACGGCGATTGAAAGTTCGAGCCAGGTACAGCCGCGGCGTCGTTGGTTTCTAGAACCATTCGATGGAAGGTTTCGTCGGAAGTGCTGTTCGAGAGCCGTTGTTTGATGCCAGTTACCGATGGTCTGCGATTGAACCCATAATCGTTCAATTCATCGTCGTCGTCCTCGTCGTTGTCGTCGTTGCCGCCGTTTCTATCGTCTTTGTTCACTCTATTGTTATCGTATCGATGACCAGCGTTGCATTGTACTTGGCCACGATTCTTGTTCTCGTTATTCACACGGTTGCTGTTCACGTCGTCGCGATGCGCGACGCCAAACTGCTGTCGTCCGTCGTCCCCGTCGCTCTTCCCATCGATGATTCTATCGAGCCTGTTCTCAGCCACGTAGCTATTGGCATTATTCAACTTGGGCATGTAATGATCTTCCGTCTCGTTGTAACGACGTTTTATTCTCTCGGTTCTAAACTTGTCCTGTTCGACGAACGCGAGCAACTCGTCGGACATGTTGTCGCCTATGTCGGGTCTGCTGGTGAGCATCGGAGTACCTTTGGTAACATCCGGAGGACCCACGTAACTTTGATCGTCCTCGCGCAAAGCCGCCTCGATGTCTTCCAAACTGTACGGCGAAATGGTGTTATAATTAGCCGATGAATCGCGATTTTCGTTAGCCATCATCCTAGAATCGTGTCTGTAATAGTCTTCCTGAGTATCGGTGCTGTTTACCGTTACGCACGACAATGGCGCCAGACTCGCCAAGAACTGTCTACGCGCGTCCGAATTATTCGTCTTCATGACAGAGTTACGCGACTGTTGACACTCTTTGCCGATGTTGTTGCTCTTGCCATTGTTCCCAAGACCGAGATCCGGCATGTTTGAATTCTTCTTGTGCACGAACAGGTCCGTCAGCTTCCTATAAGTCGAATGATTGTGCGAATGATCCGTAGCGGGGTTCGAACCACTGGCTAGAGAGTGTTGCTTGTGATAATTCGAAACCGCGACGGTCGTAGACGCGTTCGATGCAAGCAACGTCGCCGCCGTGGACGGTATCGCCGCCATCGTTGCGCCAGACGATAGACCGAACCCTGCTGCAGCAGTCTGCGACGCTGGAATCTCGTTCATATCGGTAGTCTGACTCTGAAGAAGCGATTTCGTCGACGTCAACGCTGCTTCTTGCTCCAGCGGCGAGGCGCGTGCCGCTAATTCGGCGTCGACGTCGAGAACCGCCACCGATTCGTTCACGTCCGTCGAATTGGGACACGCGTCGCCCTCCTCCTGATCCACGCAGGTCAGCTGGCGTATTCGTTCCTCCAGGGACAAGTTTTTCAACGGCGGATTCTTCTTCCGCGAGCTCGACCGGTATTTATTGAACAGACTTCTGCGCAGCGTGTTTCTCTCGATCGTTCTTCTGATCAGATTCGAGTCCTCGTCGAAGGAATCTGCGCTTTGGCTCTCTGTGAGCTTCGATCTCTTCGCGTTGTCGAACAATCGCAAGCTATCTGTACCAGCGTGTGCAAGGAGACAGTCTTGCGGATCGTCGATGGAACTCGTCGAAGAGATCAGCTTGCTAGGAGGCGGTGAAACGAATTTTGGATTTGGAAACAATTGCCTGACCGCGGAATTCGGTTTCAAGCTGTTGGTCGCTAGAGAAGAGCTACCGAGTTTGAACACGAGAGAGAGTTCCTTCGCGTCCGACTGCGTTTCATTTTGAGAGAGTCGATCGTCTTGATCTTGTTCCATACCGTTCGTTGGTTTCCCGGGCAATGTTCGTTGACGGTCGTCGACGAGGCAAAGACTGTCGTGAGAAGCCATCCTCTCGGTGACATTCTTCCTGTCGCCTCTCCTCTCGTTCGATGGATCGATATCTTCCCGCCGAACGACGCGTTCTTCTTCTTGACTGATCTCGCGAACAATACGCCGCTCCGTGACCGTTGTCATGGTTATCGTCTCCACGAGATATCGATGACGCGCCTCTGCAAACAAACACCACAGACTCGTACACGATATTTCATATTTTTCTTAATTCTAGAATGTAAATATACCGGTAGACGTAGTTCGTTGCAACTGCTCCGTCAATTTCTTCGAGTTCTCATCGTCGTTCTCCGCTACCTTCTCCTGCTCGTACGGCGATTCCCCTTCGATATTCGAATCTGCGAAATCACAAGTCGTGTTAGTCACTCGTGCAGAGAAACGGGACCCCTCGGATATACCAAAAGGAAAACGTTTACGGACTTTCTATTCGTCTATCGAGGTCCCCAGCTTACATAAGGCTTTAGCGTATAGTTTATTAATAGTTTATTAGACATTTAACGCGATGCGTGAGATCTCAAAGTCTCTGGGAACATTTATTTTTCAACGGGCTGTACAGGCCTGGCGCGCGTGAAAGGTACACCGTGGAGCATAACTATAGCACCACTATAATCTTCAAGAGTTTTGTAGTTGCAACTAATGATTTCTAAATGTTAATAATTCCCGAGTTTACTAAAAAAATTCCAACAGAAACCCTTCAAGTGCGTTAACACTTTACCGACCGGTAGCGGTTGATTAATCGGCTATCGGTCGATAAGCGTTGGCCGGTAAAAAAGTCGATTAATATCGGTCGGTAATGTGTTAAAAATGAACCGGTTCTATTGTTTTCTTTATCGATTAAATCTTGACATATAAGTAGACAACTTGAATAAATTTCACCTAAAATCCATTATTTACAATGCTTATTCATACCATATAATTGGTTGTTTCGAATGATCTTCTTACAGGTCGGAAATGTTAAAAACGTGGGTGTTGCTATAGTTATGCACCGCAGTGTATATTAAACGAGACGCAACGAGCGTATTCCACGAGACGGTGATCACTTTTTGCCCAGGAATGCACGCGTTCGTCCTTGCTGCGTACCGTGAAAACACCGGAGTCACGCTACGTTGTACACGCTTCCGATGAGCGTAGGCGCGCGGGAATTATCGTTTTAACGTTCGCGTACGTCGATAGGCATGTCGATCGATGTTTACGCGTTACGTAGACATCGTCCACGTTCCGTGGATGCTTCTCTATTACGAAATAAGAATAACAAGTACGTCGCCGCGAGAACAGTCGCGTCGGTCGTCCAACTTTGCGAACACGTGTCGTGGGAAAAACTATGCCGACTCGTTCGAAAGCATCCATTATTAACCACCGCGTGCGTTCCATACAAACCGAGTCTATGGGAACGCTCGCGATAGCTCTCTCGAGCTGGCACGGCTCGTTGGAAAATATTTTCTCGTTTGAAGGATAATGGGTTCCATGCACCAGTAATCGACAAACTAATCCAACTGGCTTGTATTCCGAGAAGCGAGAGAAATCCATGCAACAGGCAACGATAAGACGACCGCAAGCTTCCGAGATAATGCTTTTCCTCTTAAGTCGGCGCCTTGATCTTCGACAAAGACAACCCGACACCTTTGCGATCAGACCGCGGTCTCCGATCAAGTCTGAAATATATTTATTATCGTTTATTTTATTCCATTCTCTGAATCACCGTAAATTGAAAAGTAACGACTGGTGTGCAAGGCTAGCCTCGTTGGCGAAACTTTCCACGAGGCTAATTGACCCAATTAAATTTTTAATAACACCTACCGTGGTGGTTTTTTAGTTGGGAAAGCAGCCCGGTTAAATCCGGTAGCTTTTTCCCTCGTCGAAACGGGACTGTTTTGCTCTCGATATCGGTTACGAAAAACTAACAAGGATACGTATGTAAGTCTCTCGAACGATCGACTGTGCACTCGTCTTATTTGTCGAATCGATCGACGAGAGGTACAAGAGAGTGCTTTCGAGGAATTAAGCTTGGGAAATCGTCCGTTCTACATAGCGACTCACCTGGTGCTCGTTGTAATCTGATAATTAACAAGTTGTTAAGAGTTTAAGGAGGATTGCGAGGGCTCACCGTTTGAGTAAACATCCTTGTAGCCCTCTGGCGGGCTGAGAGTTTCGTGCTGGTGTTCCGGCCGCGGGACCGGCGACGACGTTCCGTCCAGCGTTCCTGGTAGTCTTGGGGGAGGTGGTGGCGGTGGTGGAGGTGGCGGTGGAGGTGGTGGCGGCGGCGGAGGCGATATCGTCGGTGGCAAGAGGACAGAGACGCTCGTTTCGCGTGCATCCGGCTTTCGATTTCCATTATCCGGCGCCCCGTCGATCCTCCCCCTTCCTGGTCTCTTCCTGGCTCTTGCATCCTTCGTCTGAGCTTCTAACAACCGATCGTTCGATTCCTCTTCCTCCTTGTCCTCGTCCAGGTCCAGCTCCTCCTCCTCCTCGTTCTCGTCCTCGTCCTCGTCCTCATCGGCGTCCACCTCCACCTCGTACTCCTCCTCCTCGTCCTCCACGTGCAGCTCGACGCAATCGAACCGCTCGCTGCCGCAACCCTGCTCCCTGACCGCGTTCCCGTGTATTATCTCCTCGTCCCTGTCCACGTCGTGGTATCGACCGTTATCGGAAACGCCGAAACGTAAATTCAATTCGGCCCGGCATTCCTTGCAGTTCCCCAGCCGTATCAGCTCGTGTTCCTGGCAGCAACAGTCGCAGTCCTCCTCGTAATCCGCGCAACATTCCTCCTTTATCAATATTATGTAATCAGCGGCGAAGAACTCGTTCAGCTTCTCGTTGATCACCACACGGTTCTTCTGCGACCTGGCCTTCGATTGGCCGGGCTTTTTCAACAGTGACTTGAGAATCTTCGCGGGCTGCTCCGGCGGAAGTTTGCTTCCGTGCTCCTTCATTATCGTGGCTTCTTCTTTCCTCTCTCACTCTCTCTCTCTCTCTCTCACTCTCTCTGTCTCTGTCTGAGCGTCTCTGGTTACTCCGTTGGCGTCTCGCGTGCCGTTACCGTTCGCCGGACGGACCGCTCGCGCCGAGCGTTTTCATTTTCAATGCAGCTAAAAAAAACAAACAAATAAAAGTCACCGCGAGGACACACGCTCGATCGATTCACTTACGATCGATTAGGCGATCGTGTTAAGTGATCGTGTCGTGGAACTGGCACGCCATATTTCGTACACGACCATAACAGAGCGCGGGGTAACCACGCACGGATAATCGCGAGATTCGAACGTATGGCTAGCACGCCGAACGTATCGAGAACCACCGTCGATCCAAGTATCCGTACGTTCGTGGCAAAACGTGTCGAATCGTTCCGTTCGACGTCGTGGACGACGGAGAGAGACGCACGTACGGGGAACACATCTTCTTCGAATCGATACGTATCCTTTTTAGCGGCGTTACGGTTTGTCTGCCCTAGAACGTCAATAATCCGGACCTGACCGTAGATTCGATACGCGATTCGTGTCAACGACCAACACGAAATTGAAATTAATATTTACCGCGAACCTTACCGTGCTGTCGCAATATCCGTGAGATACGCGAATGGGAATTATTGTCACCGTTATCACTGTCACCGGACACCGGTACCGACACTCTGCACCTTCGCCACCGCCACCGTCGCCGCCACCGCCGCTATCGTTAACGTTCCGTTGTTGCTTTCATCACGGCCATTGTTTCCTATTTTTCCAACGAGTACACCAGCGGTTCGTTCCCGGTGCGCAAGCGAATGCTCGTTTCTAGTAACACTCTACCGTTTATCGATCTCGTACGGCGAACGTGGGCGCACTTCTAAATGACACGACGCGCCGTCATGGTTCTCGATGCGTTTCGTACTTTCACCGTAAACACACACACACACGTATATATACATGTATATACGAGGGGACTTAATGTGGAAAAAACTTTACGCTCGTCGATGTTATTTAAACGTTATCACGGTTCACGAAACCCAACGGAACGCAACCTTCTCGTCCGGCGACCGAATCCAAAACCGGAAACGATATTCGACCGTGACGGGGTGGCGGTGTTAATACGTAAAATTTGACGGTGGTCAGCGGACCGGTAACGAACGTGCTATTCGCGGCGCGTTAACTGCGACTACCGTTCCGATGCAATGCTCGGGAGTTTATGCCCCCGTTTATGCACTTTCGATTCGTAAACGAACATCGAACGAACTAACCATCGTCGGTCCGTTTCAGCCTCGAGAGGACTCCACCGGACGACCGTGCTTCGAAACGGAAACCGCCGTTCCCCGTTTACCGTCGTTTGTCTCTCCTACGCGCCATCGCACATCTATCGTATAAGATACATCCAACATCTTAGGAGAAATTGAATCCGCGCGACAGAAATAACGACGCCAGAAAAATACTCTTTTTGAAAGTAGGACCGGACGCCCCATCTAGCGGCGGAGGCGCCAACTATTTCTCGACAAACTTGGCCGCTCTGCCGTAGATGGTGGTACAATCGCTCGTAAAATGGCGCATACTTTTAAATTGGAAAAATGATCAAAGAAAGTTTATTAAACAGGCTAATAAAGAAAAATAGAAGTTACGAATTCATATTACAACGCCAAATAGCAGAAACGGATGTTGTTTTCTAACGTCTACGACTCGGAGACTCGAAGAGAGATAGATGGAATCAAAGTTTCATCTTATAACCTAGATTAATAAACTTAAAAGATAGAAAGAATCGCAGTTCCTTCGATCTTCTCGTTTATTTTAAAAATTAAATTAAAACCGGATATCACCTGTTTCGAGAACGCGAAGGGAAGGCTAACGTCTTTTTTCTTGACTCCCCACAATTGCGATTCAACGAAGTTCGCGTTCACGTAGCTGTGTTTAAGAGTGTGTATGCAATGGGGCAGTTTTCCATGAAAACGATCCGCTTCCTCAAATCTTGTACGAAACTACCCAAAATTGTAAGAATTATGGCAAGCTAAGGTTATTCACACCACCACGGACAACACTCAAGAATTCTTTAAATCTTACATCACTGTTGACAAATGCTACTGTCTCGTTATCATAATCCGTTACCCGTTACTATACCCTCTGTAGCCCTCTGGAGGGAATACGCAGAGATAGTCGTCGTTGTCGCAGAATATGGGGTTGCATCTGCAAAAAAATAATTCATGTTAGAGATCGAGTTTAGGCGGCGATGCATACTGTATGGCAGACTTTGGTAGGCTCTAGTTGTTCGGCAAGTTGGCGCGAGACCATAAGGAGTACCTGATTTATATAGCTTATTGTACCTCGTGTACATATCCAAGTATAGACACTATATATATATATATATATATACATTTACACACGGACACACTTACTTATATATATATATATATATATATCGGTTTTACATATTTTAGGATTTTAATTGTTAATAGTCTTATTTTATTCAAACGAAAGTTAAGTAATTATATTAGCCACGATGTTTTGGGGTAAGTAAAAACCAGTACGAATTAAATTATATATTATCGGTTATCCAAAATTTGCCGGCAATGAAATGTTTAGAATGGCGTCGCCATGTGGTCGTGAAAAACGATCGTACATTTGAAAAACATAAAATTACGATGGAGTCGTTAACGTACAAGCGTATTAATTTTCTAATTCTTTTTAGGTTTGATAATAGAACCGAATAAACGGTACACGCAGATCGTTGAAAAATCATTCCACGTGTCTATGGCGAGCTTAGATCTCACTACAGCCGGTAAAAATCAGTTTAACGTTATTTTAAAAATTATTTGATGTATGTATAAAAGTAGTAATTGTTCGAACATACTGGATTCGTTGTCACGACTTACACAAAGTCTTCTTTAAGTTTTAAATAAAATCATATAGAATCATTTTATTTATAACTTATATTTTGTATTTTTTTTTCCTTAATTTCTTAAGTAATATTATTATTTGTTGTAGATGACAATTTGGTACAAGTAATGTTGTGCTACGATAATAGAAATTACCTGCTGTGTAGCTTGATAAAAAGTGCAACATGGCAGGTACCGCTTGATTTGAATTTTCAAGAGGGAACTAAAATAGCATTTACGTGTAACGGTCATGGTCATGTGCATTTAACTGGATATCTGATACCCGACGAGGATTTGGATTTGGATGAATTGGAAGAGGAAGAGGATGACGAAGAAGCGCCGCAACTTGTCGATAAACAATCAAAGAGAAAAGCTAAGGATTCTTTGAGTCAGAAAAAGAATGCAAAACGTCCTAGACAAGAACCTGAAGCAGAGTCCTCGGACGAAGAAGATATAGAACTAGATGGTCTTAACGAGGAAAGCGAAACGGATGATTTAGAAGAAGGGGATGAAGTAAATCAAGTCGAAGAAGAGGATAGCGAAGAAGATGAGGAGGAGGAGGAAGAAGAAGATGAGGAAGACGAAGAAGAAAAGGTTGTAAAGCTTCAGCAAAAAGATAAAAAGAATAAACGCCAACAGCAACAGCAGAAAAAATTATTAAATGGAAAAGAAGCAAAGCATGAACAGCAACACAAACAACAAAAAAAAAGCAAAGAAGAGCAAAGGCAATCAAACGATAAGAATGTTCAAAGCGATCAGAAGAAAAGAATAGTAGAAGGAGGAGTTCAAGTAGAGGAATTAAAAATAGGTAATGGTACGCCTGCAAAAGCTGGAAAGTTTGTGTCTGTATATTACGTAGGTCGTTTGAAGAATGGAAAGAAATTTGACTCGACGATGCAAGGAGAGGGTTTCAAATTCAGACTTGGAAAAGGTGAAGTGATTAAAGGATGGGATGTTGGCATCGCGGGAATGAGAGTCGGTGGAAAACGGCGTGTTACAATACCTCCGGCTATGGCGTACGTATTATCTCATTCACTATATAAAATCCCAAGTGTATTGATACACTTAGGATTATGTTTATATATGATTTCTTATAAATAACATATGTTGTAGGTATGGAGCAAAGGGTTCGCCGCCCGTTATTCCCGGCAACAGTACACTTGTGTTTGAAGTTGAACTTCGAAATGTTCATTAAAAGTTAAGAATATTTTACAGACTCTCGAGTATTTGTTAAGTGATATGTAATGTATTTTGAAATAATGAACAAGGCACCCTTTTTCTATTGTCCTCTAAAGCTTCAAGTTTATCGAAGATATGACATTTATAATATATTTTATACTACGTAATATCATTTAGAAAGTATTCTTATAGTTAAATATCGTGTACGAGTGTAAGTAAAATAGTTATTGTACTGTGGCTTTTAATCGTGAGTATACTACACAAGGATATAAAAAATTCCTCGAAAATGTGAGATCATTTGTTAAGCGTTGAATTAGGGAATAGCATTTACAAATAGTTACGCGTATTAAAATAATTTAAGATTCTAATAGTCTCGAGCAAAAGTTTTTTTCTACACATAGTATAAAAAAAAATTTGAAATAAAAATAAGTTTGATAAAGTTTCGCAAAGGGTTCATGTATATCGTACAATATATAATCTGTTGTCTTTAAATATGTTAAAGTAGAATTGAAGTTTTTAAATAAAAATTAAGCATTTTATGTATGTACATATGTATGTCTATGTGCCAAAATACCTTTTTAATTTATGAATTATTTACTTCGCATACTAACTCTAAATAATTCACAAAAGCATCGATGTTCCGTGTAACTTGTTTCGTATTTAAATTTTATTCGTCAACTATTTTACATACAAAACAAACGAATAACAACTATCTAGTCGGAATGTACGTTTGTAATTATACAGAATTTTAATTTTATTATATTTTCAAAGAACGTTTACAATACATATAGAAAATAAGAGTAGTGTTATATCGGCAACTATAGATAATTAAATTAAATTTATGCAAACCGTGTTTAATTTTCTTTTTTAACATCTTGGCCCTTTTTCCAAGATAACGTACATACTCCGTTCGTGCATTCTTTTACCAATTGTGGAACTTGTTCGTCCGAGGCTACCTCCTTTTGTTTACCTTTAAATTGCCATAATTTCAACAATATTGGCTGTATCAGGAATCTCATTATAATAAGTAGTATAGGTATAGCTATGCATGGAACACATACCATCTTAGGATAATTTATTAGAAACCCTAAAATGGTGCATGGTAAATTATTATTTATTTATTTATTAATTAACCATGCTTGAGTCTTACCTTAAGTCAAAAGAATTATATCTCTTCTTTATGATTATTCAAAATCTAAATATAAGGAACAAATGGAGATATAACCTCTAAATTTCAATCACGAACAAGTAGCTTGGATTTGATTTTTAACTTTGTACTAATCCGTATTCTTTTAGATAAAAGAGAATGAGAGCTAAATTAATACAGTTATGACGAAAGAGTTTTGAATTTATCGGTTTGTCACTGTAATTTCGACCGTTTATCAAATTCTACTTAACGTCAACCATCGTCACTGTTAGGTACTGTTGTATGCTTACAGTTTCTGTACGCATGCGCAGATTACTAATTACATACTTGGTAACTCGTAATAATTTGCGTCGTCTAACGAGAAAATATTCTGCAAATTCTCGTCAAAAATTGCAGTACTCTACTCTTTAGATGCATTTCTTTACTAATCCCTATTTTTACCTTTTTTCGTCGGTTACTGCGAAACCGGAAATATGCAATATTATAAACGTGGTTCATTATAAAGTAATATAAGGGGTAAATGTTTCTCCTTTATTTATTCAAATTTTGAATCGTATAATTTTCATAGATTCAATATTTGACATGGCTTTATTAGGGCATATATCGTATATTAGTATTCGTACATAAGAACATGGTCACAGCCACATATTGTTAACAGGATTTGAATCCTGCTAATTTCACTTAACTGTATAAGGTACTGAGAAATACATAAAGCGAGAGTATATCAGTCAGCGTTTTTTTTACAATAGCCGTCGTGAGACCGTCCTGACTGAACGATTAAATTATACTCGGGACAAAAAGTATTGATTACTCAGGGTCATTAGGCGACTATCTCCAATTATATCACTTCACTAACTCGTTAGCATATTGTCTCACATGCTTCCAAATACTTTACGACCTCTTGTCACGGACAACGAGACAACGACGACACTTAAAACGAAGAAGACTAGTCCGAAGAAGGCGGTTAGAACCCTACACCATTGTCGCTTTCGTTTCGCTTTCGCGATCGCTCTGCCCAATCGTTCGGCACGAGAAACGTCCAACGTGAAGTCTAAGTCTCCGGCGAACCCTCGTATATGATGGTCCCAGTTACTTTTACCGGACGAAACGATTATGCCTTCGCTGGATGAACCACCGTCGCTGCACTCCAGCTGCTGAAACATCGGTCTTAATGGGTTGGTTACATTTACATTGCGGAGACTAACTTACTATATCGCTCACAAAGAATGAGAAACAAATCTAACCAAAGAACAATAATTATTCTCTACCTTGTACATATGTATATTTCATGGACTCACCGTCACGTATTCCGGTTCGCTGTGAACGAGCCTATTTCGATTTTGCTTTGTTTCGCCGTTCGTTACGATAGTCTTTTTCGCATCAACGCCAACGCAACAGGTCGCGAATGCGTTCTGCGGTTCTTTAACGTTATGACTTAAACGGCTCAAACATTTGCAAATGCGCGAACCGGAAATGTTTCTATTTCTTTGCGATGCCGATCCGAGAGTAGTTTCTTGGCAATGATCATCTACCAAAAACACAGCTGACGGGCTTCCTTTCTTTTCTGGCTCGTTGTTCGCTGTCCCGACGCGTTCCTCAACCTTCGACGATGATAAAAATCCGTGAGCATGTTCGCAGGAGTTCAAACAGGTGAACCATGCCGGGTTATGTACGTAAAAATGCCGTACGTTACCGTAGAGCTTAGAATTTACCGGATTGATTCTCGTCGACGAGATTCTATTGTTACAGCTCAACAACGACGAGTTCTTGTCGCTTACGAACGATGTCTTGCCGGGTATGAACGACGAGTTATGATAAACGTACTCGTAGATCCCTCCTTTCAAACCGATTCCTTGAGCAACTTTCTGCGAGATGCTATGCAGGATTTCCTCCGACGTCATAGCGGTCTCGCCTTCTATCACAGAGTTCAGCGTTCGGGATAACTCGAGGAGGACGTCGCGCGCCGATGTGCCTGCAGAGTTTTCATAATCCCAATCGCAGTACGAATATGCATACGCGCAACCGCATCCGCAGCACGCGTACAAAGCTATCGTGAATCGTAAAATCATGGCTTGTTAATCTCGAGGCGTTCGCCAAGCGTAAGATAATGTCGCTGTCGACGCTCACCATCGTATTCGGGGTTTTCATCGTTCTGATGAAGTTCACGCGGGCTAGGAAACGCAGACGGCCAAATGGGACGCGGGATCGCCTCGCTCTCGTGAATTACAGCAAGCCCTCCACCGAACTGGTCTTTCATCGTTATAGGCACAGCCCGGAAAATGCCCTGACCAGGGACTGCCGATGCATAACAAGAGTAAGAGCCAGCGGACAATGGCGGAGAGTGGCTGGAATAGCCAGAACTGGTCGAAGTCCGGCAACATTTTCTTAGATTGTTTCGCGTTGTGGTTGTTGACGAGCCGGCCACGAATCTTGAAACTTCAGCGTCTATCGAGTCGGGCTCTATCCTGTAGAATTTATACGCTGTTAGACTATACCGATGCAATAGTACATTGCTCAGAGTAACACCCTTTACCATTCTGCTTCGTGCAAGTCTGTTCTCGGCACGGCGTACAGACTGTCGGGATTGCAAACGTATCGCTCGTTCGGTAGACGCAAAGCTAACTTTACACCATCATCGTCGGGGCTGTTCTGGTTCCCAGGTGAAACTGCCAAGGTCGTCGCGACTGCGGCGCTGGAATAGAACTTCTAATGACGAGCGTTCAGAGATACCATGTTTTACGAGAAGTACAAAACCTGGATGATTGATGGTTGATGACGGTGTTACCGCATGGGTTAGATGCAGGTTCGTCTAGGGCCAGTAACCACCGCTGCATGCTCTTGTAGAATGCTCAGCAGCGGACTAAATGCCGCGCGCTTTCATTCTTAGGTTCCTCGATTCTCACCGACATCTCATCATCCCTTTTTGGCTTCTCGATACAACGGTAGGGCTGGAAGAAAGGATAACATTAGACTATCTTATGCAGGATGTTTGCCAGCTCGCGATACAAACTAGCACCGAATGTAGGTCTAAAGATCAATCGTTTCCGCGTTGTAAAAGAACGTGTCTTCTCTTAAGTTTTAAACTCCTTGGTTTTCCTCCACCTTTGTCTTCGCACGAAATTACAAGTGTCGTAATCGATATTATTGTATTCTCGCCTTGTCCGTTCCTTCTTCCATATTCAAGACTAACACTTTTAGTGGCGTAATCGAGATTCAGGACAGACGCTCTGATCCTCTGCTGTAATTCCTCGAAAATTTACATGCATGTCATACACGTTGCATTAATGAATGAACATGTTGGAAAAAAGTGTTCAAATCGTAGGAGATTGAATCATCTTTTCCCGTTTGAATTTCACACGAATTTATAAGCAGTTTTTTCGTTATTCTAACGATTTGTAATTATAATTCGTTGCGTGTCTCAACTCATCGGGCGAACTAACGCATCAGAATTTTTCATCGAAATATTCTACACTACGATCGTCCGATTTCTGTTTAACCAGATATTTATCTGACGAGCCGTTTAGTATTGATGCGGTGGATGATCCATGTTTCAAGGTCGCTTTCACATTCGTCATGTTCACGTAACAAATTGGACAACGTGAAACGGGTATTACGTTATCCAGGACATTCCTCACAGACTGACAAGAATGTAGGGTAATGTTATGTTTCGGTAATAATGCCTCTTAAAAGACTCATAGATGTTATCTCGCCATAGAGTGAAAATTAACCGCGCAATTTGTAATCGGTTACTTCGCAAGCGTGTGACTTATTACAGAACATGATACATTATGAAACGATTGACTGTAATTATAACTACACCCTAATTAAACCGCATATAACGTAGCCGTAACCATTGTTAAGTCTATTGCGAAATTATATCAACAATTACATTTTCTATTGCAATAGAAGGATCGTAGAAGTGTGGTACATTTGAAATTAAGTTTTGTAAGATTGACTCTGAGCTATAAAAAAAATTAAGAAATACTATCTGTACTATTGCGAAATTAAATCAACAATTACATTTTCTATTGCAATGTAAGGATCGTAGAAGTGTAGTGTACTGATACATTGAAATTGAGTTTTGTAAAATTGACTATGAGCTATAAAAAAAATTAATACTATCTGTACTATTGCGAAATTAAATCAACAATTACATTTTCTATTGCAATATAAAGATCGTAGAAGTGTGGTACATTTGAAATTAAGTTTTGTAAGATTGACTCTGAGCTATAAAAAAATTATGAAATACTATCTTTGCTATTAGGGAATGTATTTTAGGACGGTCTAAAAAGAATTAGCAATACGTTGCAAAGTCGGACATCCGATGAGCATGGTACGATGTGCCAAAGTAGCCCGTTTGGTTCACGAGTTACAGGTAAGTGTGGTACTCCAATTAACTAGTACCATGGATCAGCGTGCACGCCGTAGCGCCCAGCACTCCGCATTCCGCCACTTCCAGCCGACCACTTTCACGTCGCTACAGCCCGCTCCTCGATGTTCACGTATTATATGGTACACCCTGGAATGTCGATTGACGTTACAAAAGTCCTGTGCTTGGAGAAGAATGCAACTCGAGCCAGAAGCTCGATATCGCGCAGAGATATATCTACAGTAGTTACATACAAAACACATCATACAATTGAAGAGTCTTCGCGTCGAATCGGTAGAAATTAATTTAATATACGATTCGTTGCTTACTTCTATACAATCGATTAAAATACATTGTTATTCGACTGAGAATGTTGAGCACTTTGAAATAGAAAATTAAAAAGAAGAGACCGGAGCGTACAAAACTCGTAGAAATTTATCTTATAGGAAGATAGTACGAATGGTCCACGAAACGAAGTCGCGAAAAATATTTTGCTCGCAAACTTTCACTGGTACTCATTCAGGGCCGTCCTGTGAAAAGAAGCCGCCCTGTGGCAAGAAGAAAATAAATGCTCGATCCCCGCATCTGTCACAGTCGCCAAAACAGATTCTCGAGATTAGTTTCACGGCGCCGAAGGTGTCATGAATAAATTTCTAATCTAACAGACCTGCCTCCACCTCAAAAACATTACTAAAATTACACTCCGGTGTAAAATCAATTTTGAGGTCGACGGTATGTAAATGAGAGATTTATACGGTACCGTACGAATGTTATGATTTTCTTTTGAAGGCAAAGAAAGGTAAAACAGCCCCGGGCGAAGCACAACTTTCATACATGCAAATTCACGGTACGCTCAGTCGAATAGCTATGTAAATTACACGCAGCTGGCTATTTATTATGTCTATGGGGCAATATAGATTTTTCTTTTCCTCCGGAGAAAGTAGAAAAATAACAATTGCTGTACGGTAATCAACGGCCTAGTCGAGGATTACATCAGTTCGCTGGCCTGTGCTTGAACATACATGCATACATACGTGCTTTTTGTCATCGAACAATAATACAATACACGCAAATGAAATCGGTTAACGATCAAGCGCCAATTATGTAATACGAAATGTGGCAATGGATATATCGTTTTTGGCTAAAACAATGAACAGTAACGCGGCAAGAAGTCACCGTTACTTTGAAACAACAATCAACAGAGCAAAGTTAAATTATATGGCGCCTACGTTTACTTTCATCATTCCCCTTCCACCGATCAGTACATACACCTTGAACAACTGCTTGTTTTAATAAGCGTACGTAATTGCTTTAAATTCTTAAGGCGAGACGCTACCCTAAAGTGTCTAAAAATAGGTAAAGCTTGGGAAGGTAATAGATTTTTAAACTATTAACATTGTTTTCCAATTTTTTAACAATAAAAATGTTTCAAAATAACGGAATTATTCACTATTATTGAAACCTTTTTTGCTAGAACATCAATTACTGGTACATAAATTTTGGCAAGGACCAATAACCGAATTTTGGCGTTATTGTAACGATTTTCGATCAGGTGAAGCGCGACAGTAAGACGAAATGACCGATTTAAGCTACGAAAGAGCGAAGATCAACAGATCATGAAAGTGAACGACCAGAATTCCTCCGGAGGACGCACAGAGTGGTTGAGAAAGATCGACTCTGGGACAGACCCTGACTTTTCGACCCGCGGCACGATGACTCGTGGGACCATTGATCGTCTCGTGTTCTTATATCCTCGTCCTTCGACTCTAACATATGGCCATCCTATCGAGACGCGCTTCGTTTCGCAACCCTCGTCACCGCAGAGGGTCGCGCAACATACTCGCACCGCAGTTCTCGATAAATATATTATTTAACTTCTTCTTTAATCGGCCATTCGGTCCCCTCCATTTCAAACTCAAAATAGTTGTCTTATACTTTCTTCCTCTACAAAAAAATATAGTAAATTTAATTCTTGCTTGATAAAATTATTTTCGAAACTGTGAACTTTGATCGGCTCTTTCGTATCTTCGTGTTCAAAGTTTAACAATGAGATATTGAGGATTTAATAGTTGAAATTGCAAATATGATCGAAACATAATTGTCTATTACAATTTAATTAAACGATCTATATAGATATTTAACGATAATTACAATCGTACAAATGATAAAATTTTATCATTTTTACTGTACTAGATAATTTGTTTACGCAAAAGAAACCATTATATTACATGCTTTCTTTAAGTTTAATTAAAAGCAAAATCCATTAATAATTAACATTTTCTGATTACGTCTAATGACATTTACTATTTCAAAAACCAGAAGGAAGTTAAAAAGAAAAAGCATATTCAGCAATTTTTTTACACGAAAGAATTTAGGAGAACAATTTTATATGTTGATTAAAAATTCGATATATATTATAATTAGCGCTAAATTTCAATTGCTTTGTCTATGGTAAAATACCTATGTCTCTCTCGTCCTCTCCTTGTTGGAAATTGACAGCATGTACGATAATGGCTGAACGCTTGAGAGACAAAAACTTTCACGCGCGTATCAGCGCAACCGTTACGCTTACGATGTTGTTCTCGCGGAGGTCCAAAGGAAACTGAAAGTCCCGTTTCGTCGTCCCGAAACTTGACTGGATCATCAGAGGCTCTCTCTCCTCCACAGTCAATCATTATCTAGATAAAAAAAGTCCTTTTTATCGATAATTATCCCATAAATATTGTTTTGCTGTTTCATAGAATTAGTTTAATAGACTATGCCCTCTATACTCACGTACAATAATATATGAATCATATAATCGTTATGTACGATTATTTATAAATCGTGCAATACTCATCGATCGCAGTTATGTACAACAATAACAAGCAACTACCTTATCTGTTCCTATAACAATCGATATTGTTGGTATAACCTTATTAACTAAAAGAAAATCATTAATTTTATTATGTTACGTTTTATTCGAGAACTTTAGTCGTCAAATTATTAGACTTAATCGTAATTTTCAAAGCAGTCGTCTTTAATTTCTTCGAACGTATATTTTGCTTTTGAACTGGTACGTTTAATTCAAGTGTGTTTGTACCGCGTTAACTTCATTTGTACGCAATTTATGTAATCATATACAAGTTCATATTAAAGCGATATTTTATTTTTACTCTTAACTACTGACTTCGTGCTTTGAATGCGCAGCTTAGTTTGTATAATTTATAATTTACACAAACAAATTACTTTATGAATAATTTCCGTTTGACCAAGTACTTAACTGTCGACATATTTAATCGAAACTTTGGAATTATTTATCGAAGTTTTTGAGTCGAATGCTAATCGATAGGCCCTTCGATATGGTCGATAAACCTTTCGATATGTCCGACAATCGATATAAAATGACGAAGAGGGTGTAAATACTAACCTTTCACATGTGTGAATTTTTTGGTGTTTGTTATTATTTGTAAATATAATCTGTCCTTAAAATGGCTAATTTTTCTGAAGACTTGTTTGACGTTTTCGAAGAAACAGATGATGTAGTAGAGGTAATTCCAGCCCCAGTAAGACAGAAGGATTTCCAGATATCATTGAACGAAAAGTAAGCATCCCCATAACTTCACGAACGAGTATGAAGCGTGCCTGTAAATAATAAAAAAATGATTAATATATAGAAAAACTGATCCAGAGAGTGGGACGAAACGAGACTTGGAAACTGATGCTAGTGAAATAATTTCTAAAAAATTACGATTCGATCCTGTCTTGGAAGATATAAAGTAACCTACAATAATAAATGTAACTCGTAGTTATTTATCTATCATTTTTAAAAATTATTGTATGTCTTTGTATGCAGCGTAGAAGAATTGGCACCGCGTATTAAAATACATACTATAGAGACGATCGAATCGTGTACGCACGAAGTTGCAGTACCACCGGATTATCAATATGTACCATTGGAAAGTAAACAAAGCAAATCAGCTAAGGAATATAAATTCGTGCTAGATCCTTTTCAGAAGGAAGCAATATTATGTATCGAAAACAATCAATCCGTTTTGGTTTCTGCTCATACTTCGGCTGGTAAAACTGTTGTTGCGGAGTATGTATCTTAATTAATAGAAAATGATAGAAAATTTATAAATATACTTATTGCTAATTGGACATTTTACAGGTATGCCATAGCATGTTCGTTAAGGGATAAGCAAAGAGTGATTTATACAACTCCTATCAAAGCATTAAGTAATCAAAAATACAGAGAATTTTTTGAGGAATTCAAGGATGTTGGCTTAGTAACCGGAGATGTTACAATTAATCCAACAGCCAGTGTTCTTATCATGACTACTGAAATCTTAAGAAACATGCTTTACAGAGGATCCGAGGTTTTTTTTAAATTTTTAACTATATATATATATAAATGTTTCTTATTGTATTATTAGTAATTTCAATAATGTATTTAACGTTCAGGTAATGCGTGAAGTCGGTTGGGTAATCTTTGACGAAATTCATTATATGCGTGACAAAAGCAGAGGTGTCGTATGGGAAGAAACATTAATATTGTTACCAGACAATGTGCATTATGTATTTCTTTCCGCTACTATACCTAATGCACGGCAATTCGTAGAGTGGGTAGCACATTTACATAAACAACCGTGTCATGTTGTTTATACAGACTATAGGCCGACTCCTTTACAACATTATATATTTCCTGTTGGTGGGGATGGAATTCACTTGGTTAGTGAAACGTAATAAAAAAATTAATTTATTAAAGAATAAAAAAACTTACGATTATATTAATACATAGGTTGTAGATGAAACGGGACAATTTAAAGAAGAAAATTTCAACAGAGCAATGGCTTGGTTGCAACACGGCGATCCTGCTAAAGGAGATACAAAAGGTCGTAAAGGAGGGATGCGCTCCTCAAATTCTGGACATTCGAATATTTTCAAAATGGTGAAAATGATCATGGAAAGGAACTTTGCACCTGTAATTATATTCAGCTTTTCAAAAAAAGATTGCGAGGTTTATGCGATGCAAATGGCTAAATTGGATTTAAATACAATAGAAGAAAAGAAATTAGTGAATGAAGTTTTTAATAATGCTATGGATGTTCTTAACGAAGAAGACAGGCGCTTACCGCAGGTTGAAAATGTATTACCACTTTTAAGACGTGGAATAGGAATTCATCATGGTGGACTTTTACCTATACTGAAGGAAACTGTCGAGATATTGTTTGGCGAAGGGTTAATAAAAGCGCTCTTTGCGACAGAAACTTTTGCAATGGGATTAAATATGCCAGCGCGAACAGTTCTATTCACAGCATCGCGAAAATTCGATGGCAAAGATTTTCGTTGGATTACATCTGGTGAATATATTCAGATGTCTGGTCGAGCGGGCAGAAGAGGTCTAGATGAAAAAGGAATAGTAATATTAATGATAGATGAACAAGTTAGTCCGGTAATTGGCAAAGCGATTGTACAAGGGAAACCAGACCCCATTAATTCAGCATTTCACTTGACTTACAATATGGTTTTAAATCTTCTAAGAGTCGAAGAAATTAATCCGGAGTACATGCTTGAAAGGAGTTTTTATCAATTCCAAAATCAAGCCTCCATTCCTGATTTATATAACAGTAAGTAGATTGTTTATTCAACAATTAAATATTACAATTTGGTATAAAATGATTATTATTATTTTTACAAATTATTACAGAGGTAAAAGAATTGCAAGCGGCGTATAATGCGGTGGATATTGATAAGTATAATCAAATATCGTCTTACCATGACATACGTGAACAACTCGATCGTCTTTGTACCGAATTTCGATCTTTCTTGACAAAACCAGAATATTTACTTCCATTCCTACAACCTGGAAGGCTAGTAAAAGTATGTATTTACATATACTACTTACATGTAATAGCATTATTTTCTAATATTTTAATAACGATTATAGGTGAAAAATGAGAATGAAATGTTTGATTGGGGTATTATTGTAAATTTTAAAAAGAAGAATCCTACAAATCCGACAAAAGAAAACACTGCTATCATTATAGACATTTTACTCCATATTTCTAAAGAGTCTAGCAAAGGATGTCCAGTACCTTGTCGCGAAGGAGAAGAGGGTGACATGGAAGTAGTCCCTGTTTTACACACACTAATTTCACAAATAAGTTCACTTAGATTATACTACCCAAAAGATTTAAGACCATCCGACAACAGGAAAAGTGTATTAAAAACGATACAGGAAGTAAAGAAAAGATTTCCAGACGGACCACCGCTACTGAATCCTATTACAGACATGCGAATAGAAGATGAAACATTTAAAGATGTCGTTAAGAAAATCGAAGTATTGGAAGAAAGATTATATGCTCACCCTTTCCATAAGGTAAGATAACTATAGTTCTGTTCCTACGTGCTACTTCTCACTTATCTTTAATACTCGTACAATGACAATGAATGTTTGATTTTACTTCGAGTATAGGATCCCAATATAAATACATTATACGAACAATTTTTGCATAAAGATGACTTAGCTAATCAGCTTAAAGAAGCAAAGTTAGAATTGAAACGAGCCAAATCGATACTTCAAATGGATGAATTAAAATGTAGAAAACGAGTGTTACGAAGATTGGCTTATTGCACAACGTCAGACGTTATAGAATTAAAAGGCCGAGTGGCTTGCGAACTAAATGGAGCTGATGAATTGTTAATGACGGAAATGATTTTTAATGGATTATTTAATACGTTAAGTGTACCGCAAATGATAGCATTAATTAGTTGTTTTGTTTGTGACGATAAATCGAACGAAATGCCTAAAAGTACCGAGGAATTAGGTGGCCCTCTAAGACAAATGCAAGATTTGGCCCGCAGAATAGCGAAAGTATCTACAGAAGCTAATTTAGAATTAGACGAAGACTCATATGTGGAAAGTTTTAAACCATATCTAATGGATGTTGTATATGCTTGGAGTAAAGGTGCCACTTTCTTACAGATTTGTAAAATGACAGATGTATTTGAAGGTATACTGCAGATTTTAATTATGTCTTTATATTTCATTCTTTCATAGTAAACTTAATTGTATTTTATTCATCCTAGGTTCAATTATACGATGTATGCGTCGTTTAGAAGAAGTTCTTAGACAATTGTGTCAAGCAGCAAAGAACATTGGAAACACGGATTTAGAGAATAAATTCAGCGAAGCGATTAAACTCATAAAACGTGATATTGTCTTTGCCGCATCTTTGTATCTATAATAAAATTTTTTAGAAAGATTTGCTATTATTTAAAATATATTTTTTTTATTACGAGTTCCATTTATATCTTTTACAAATTAAGTTCTCTTTCAATATATTTTGAAATGCTCATTGCAATCATGGTAACGATAAACAAAAGGCAGCTTTTGTTTGAGGTTTCTCAGAATGTAATTTATTCTTAGGAATTTAAAATATACAATGTACATGCATGGAAAGGACTTCTTTTTTTTTTTTATAATATAAAACTACATTTGTTGTACGAATTAATAGTACGAAAAAATACAGCATGAAAATGTAGTTGCATAATAAACAGAACTCATATTAACTGACAACTATTCGAAACTTGTTAAATAAATAACACTTTCAGAACATTGCGATGCTTAATTTCTACATTTTTAATTTAATTACAACAAAATTACTTATCGTTCTTCTAAAATTACTGTTTCTTGAGGACAGAATTTCAGATCCATGAGAGTGAGTTTTGAATCCATGGATGTTAACTAAAAATACATATAGGAATACCTTTGAATATATTTTCGTTCTGGGCAACTATTTCAGTCTACTATTACAAATTGACAGTAAAATTATGAAAGGTTCTTTGCACTTGTATTTAATCTGACGAAATAAATGCCATAAAGGAATATCTATATAATAAGAACTCAAATGCTTACATCATCTACTTACATCCCTTCGAGGCCAACTACATAGGACCTTATATTCTTCTGTAGGATAACCCTCCACGATGAGGAAATTAAGGAGCGTTTGTAATGGTGTGTCGAATTGAAATCTACGTTCCAGAAATTTTCCAGTCGGAAGTCGTACTCTTACTTTCAGTACACCATCGCCCGCGCCTTGTTGCGGTTCCGGGGGTAAACTCGATTCTACAGTTTGTCTATGAGCTTCTTTCCTTGCTTCTTCAGCCAACCTCTCATTCTCTGCCTCTAACTTTTTTCGTTTTTCTAGTTCCTCTTCCACTTTCTTTTGCTCTTTTGCCTTTTCTTTCGCTCTAACATCATATAACGCGTTGTATTAAATTATTATTAATACATAACTGTATTCAATCATGTAATTTATTATTTCTAATTCACCTGTCTGCTGCTAAACTTTCTTGATATGCTCTATCTTGCTCTTGTTTAACTCTTTCTCTAGCTTGTCTTTCTTCTTCAACTCCAATGTCAGCGCGTCTTTGCAACTGTTTTTCAAAACGGTAACAACATATGAAATATAACACAAGATTATACATTAATGTTAACTTTAATTTTCTTTTACCTGGAATACATCAACAGCATGAATTAGGTTTGTTAGTAGTTCATTTACACCCACATTGCCATGAACTGTCGTAAATATTTCTGTATTAGATCTAGTTCTCATTATAATTACAAGAACAGGCAAAGTATCAATGTCTATATTTTTCATAGCTAATACTGCAACCGGTCCTAACGTTTCTTTCACGGACGAAAGAAACCTGTAAATTAAGAGTAATTTATTGTACAAGAAATTATTGTATCAATGAACAGAAACATCTTCTCTTGCAAAATATACCTTTGCCTATTAGACTCATAGGTGATATCCCAACCCCATACAATGAAATTTGCAGATAGAACTTGCAGTACTGTTTCAGAGCCTAATAATTGCGTGCAAAATACATTTGCTAATACACTATTATCATGATGTAAATATACAGCCAACAATTTCCTCTATAATGATTGAAATTTATAGCATTACACATCGAGTACTATCTATTATCATTTCTAATTATATTAGTTACAAACCTCTTTTGCAGGTTTTAAACACGATTCTTTAACAGCGTCTTTAAATTTTCCAGTAAAAAATTCTGGATGTCCCAGTCCATACCTGTTTTCAAATTCTTCTGCAAAAAGCAACGTACCCATTGTTTCATCGGTCACATTTTCTGGCACTATAAAAAGAAATGCACTTTATAGAATTTATTTAATATTAAATATTCTGCATATCATAAAAATTAATAAATAAATAATTTATCAAGATTTGAATTTACTTACTAAGACATTGAATTTTAGTAGACTTGATATCTATGAAAATATCATCATCGACATTAAACGATTCTGGTTCTTCTACATCATCTCCTTCGTTCTCAGAACTATCGCTTCCAACTAGGTCTATAACATCCTAAAAGTAAATAAACATTACCGAACTGTTATATACATCTTGAATTATTATCGATGGTACCTTCTTCTCCAGTTTCATAGGAAGTTCAGTGACAGAAAGATCATGTTCCGGGTAAGAAATTCCACTTTGTGCTAGCATAGTGCTATCATTTTTCACTGAACTTGGCCAACCTTTCCACTGCTGATATCGAATAGGAACATTTATTAATGAGTAAATACCTGACTTTACATCAAGGATTGTACACGATCCAAGAAACTTTAAATTATATGTTTCCTTGCGTATTTCATCTTTGATATTTAAGGTATACGTTTGAGTCATATGTTCTGCTAAATTTGCACTAAAAATACAAGTATAATATAATTGTACACAATATATTAAAATAATTTTCCATAAATTTACTTACCTATCGGTTGTTATATCAAGATCCTCCGTTAGAGAAGACATACATAAAGTATTTTCTTTTGGCAAATCTAACGTTTGTAACGACGTAGAAGGTGATTCTGGTACTTTTGGCCAGCCATAAAGACGTTGTTGGCAAGGAGAGACGGATGTTTGTTCCCATATAAGTTGTTTGAGATCACCTAAAAGTAATAAATCTCGTTTAAAAAGTAATAATTTTATTAATAAGAAACATTGCCAAACAAGGAATACTCAGTTACTTACTTAAAGAGGATAACTCAGACAAATTTATTTTATAAACATTACTAAGATACTTAATGCGGAATGTGAGTATTCTTTCTCTTGCACAGTTTTTAAGTTTACTTGTTCCTGGTTTTGAATTTTCTACAACATCCATTTTTGAATTACTTTTTGAATCATGAACAGTTTGTGACGACGAAGAAGACGAATGAGGCATTCTTTCAATTTCTTCTATCATTTCTATATCTGGACTCATTTCGGAAGGTAGTTGTTGTGTACCACGAGGCATGGCTTGATTTACTGCTGCCTGTAAAGTGTAATTAAATAATTTTTAATCCTATATTCCTTTTACCTGTAATTTACATACAAACTTACCAATAAATCCCAATTCGAATCTTGTAAGTATTTGATGGCATCCCCAACATCATCAATTCCAGTACATGCCTAAAACAATTCAATACTTTTAAATAACTGTTCTGAAAATATGAACCATACTACACGACATCACAATAAAATAAATTCTTGAACGCAATTTTTTATATCCGTAACTTTATAGTCTTACAAAGGTTCATGATTCATAAACAAAATTATACAAAGGGACAAAGAAACCAATGTACACACGAAGATACGTTTAAAAATATACGCCACTAAATACTGTAAAATGTTATTCGAATGGTGTTATACGTTCCTAAACATCGTTGAAATTTTGACAGATTAAAGAGAAAACAATTGGAAAATGTCGTATTATATTCATAGATTTCAACTATTGTCAATGTCACTATGCGTATATATCATAACCTAAAATTTTATTTGTGTTTGGGGTAAATGTATAATCGAAGCTCCGATAGATTACCTGAAAGTCAGCCAAAATCTCGGCCCGTGTTCCAGCCATCATGTCTACGTTTACTGTCAAACTCGAGCAAATACGCAACCCACGAAAAAACTATTTTGTTACTTTACAATCGTTACAAGCAACATGCACAATGAATGCAAGCCATTGACGTCTTAAACCTCACGCTAGTTTTAAACGAACATTGAACCATCTATAGTGTTTATATATTTTCCTTTGCAACATCAAACAATTGTTCGTATATCGGGCGATATCAGAAGAGATATTTTCATTTCTCAACTAAAGTTCTCTAATGCACGCCAGAAATTACGATTGGTGGAATCTTAAATCGTTATAACTGTTCTCCAATCATATTTAAAAGATTGGAAATATACATGAAAAAATTGTAATATTTATGGTAACGTGAATATAAATTTTCTTATTCTACGTTTTTGATTGTTACATTTAATTAATTCTTTCCTAATATGTATATATATATATATGATAATAGTAATGGCTGATTTTCACCGATGATAGTATACTTTATACAATATTTAAGATTAATTGTATTACTCAAAGTTCCGAATTAATTAAAAAACACAGATTATAGCTCCGTCATTACTTAGATCGCTATAAAATCTTCTTTGTTTGAAACTACTTGAACTAAAATAAACGATTATTTGTTTAATTTTAAGTTACAATATTACGTATATATATATGTGTATGTATATGAATGTAATACTGGCTTAATTGTGCAACATGAAAAATAGAACTTAATACCGTGAGAGTAACAGAAGTGACTTGAGCTACGTCCACGTGAAATCAGTCATAAATTTATGGTAGTTGTTTCCATTGTCAAAAAGAGTTTTGTTGCGTGCATCGTAGTTCGCGCGCGTGGCCGATCGAGGAAGAACGAGACTTTTTTTATGCCTTCCACGCCGGGCACTGTCACTTTATCATGATCAAATTATTCTCGTTAAAACAGGCGAATAAGGATGGCGAGTCGCCGAAACCTGGCACCCAAAAGAAGGCATCCGCAGCACAACTGAGAATCACAAAAGGTTTTATCGATGGCCATTCCATTGTATTTCTGCTAATTTCTTTTTGGTTTCATTAACTATTGACTTTCTATAATGCACAAAAACTTCAGTGTGTTGTTTAAGAAAGAGTCTCTTTAAAATCTTGTAAAGTTTTCATCTATAAAGTCTTGCAACACTTGTTCGTACAACTAATGTCTTTCCAACTTTTCGTGATATCATTTATGCGTATAAGATTTTACATTTAATTTCTTAACCTATTTTATTGTACATAAACATATGTGCAATATTTAAGAAACGATATCTTATTTAAATATTTCATTGGGATAATATAAATAGCTGTTTTGCTAACTTTCCAAAAAGAAAGAAAAAAGAAATAGTGAGAAACATGAATGAACTAAAAGAGCAAACAATTTTTACTGTAAACTGACATTAAATTAATCAATAAGCAACGTATCGATATTAATTATAATTTTGTTTGGTTATACTCTCTAAAATAAGAAAACCTGTCAAGCACAATTATGCCTATGAATATACAGGTATATTGTTCATTATATTATTAAATTACTGTAATTTTAATAATATAAAGAACAATATTCCTTTTTTTGATATTATATTGCTACTGAGATATATTATCAATAGAATTTGTAATGTGTATTAAATTACTTCCTTTGAAAAATACTAATATAAAATGTAATAAAGTTACATATAAGAAAATGTTAATGCAATATTGTTAAATCTACTTATAACTAGTTTATAAAATTTAACACAGAAGCATTGTTACGTTGAAATAAAGTTTTGACCTTTGGATGACATTGAAAAATTGATCTTAAAATATGGTTTTTACATACTCCTTTTTGTATTTACAAATGTTACATACAGAGAACTATGATTATCATATGATAAGAAGAAAGACTTCTGTGATGCTTTTTGTTTTGCATAGACATAAATGAACTCAATCTTCCAAAAACATGTGGGACAGAGTTTCCTGATCCAGACGACCTCCTCAGTTTTAAATTAATTATTTGTCCAGACGAGGTAAGGCTTCTTGTACAAAACATTGTTTGTCCAATAAAAAAAATCTGGTTTTTTAATTTTTTTCAGGGATATTATAGGGGTGGCAGATTTGTCTTCAGTTTTAAAGTTGGGCCAAATTATCCACATGAGCCACCAAAAGTAAAGTGTGAAACACAAGTTTACCACCCTAACATTGATTTGGATGGCAATGTGTGTCTGAATATCTTAAGAGAAGATTGGAAACCAGTTCTCACAATTAATTCTATTGTCTATGGATTGCAGTATCTTTTTCTTGTATGTAATGTAACGTATTATTTTGTACGTATACAAAAAGGGGGCGATATATTAAAAGAATACATTGTTTATTTAGGAACCAAATCCAGAAGATCCATTGAATAAAGATGCTGCTGAGGTCCTTCAAAATAATAGGAGAGCGTTTGAGCAAAATGTAGCAAAGGCAATGAGAGGCGGCTATGTTGGCTCGTTTTACTTCGAACGATGTCTCAAGTGATACAGCGCTCGTTTCCCTCGAGGGCACACTGAGGAAAGAGACCGAGAGTAGAACATCCTGCTCTAAACGCGTTTCCCTTGTCTCTCACGTTTATTCGTGGACGGGGCCTCTTTGCGTCTTCTTGATCGAGTGCTTCGTTCCGTTGGTCAACAAACCATCGGTAAAAATGCCACCGATGCGCTGTTCGCTCGGAGCTGTGGGATACCTTTTTTCTTTTCTTTCCCGTTTTCTCTTTCACTCAGTACTCTGCAAAGAATCGATGTTGTATTTACGTTTGCAAGTTTCTTACTTGAATCTATCCATTGGTAAATACAATTTAAAGTGGCGGTTATTGTCGAATAACAGCTGTTAACAAGTTTCCTTAAAAGAGCATCTGTGATTACAAATATTATTACAACTTTATTATAGACGTATTTTTGGCTACGATCGTCCTGAATTCCCACGTGTGTGTATCTGCGGATTGCGATATCTAAATTTATAGTAATTTATACAATGGAATGAACACACCTGGACATAAATAAAAAGTTGTGATCAAAATTGTTGCAGCCTCTCTTGGGACATCACTTCTAGTTATGACCAACGAAGTTTGACTTTATACTTTATTGACAGTATTTATCATTACGTTCGTTACCAATCTTATTGAAAAAGTGTGCGTGTATGAGATTTGCAAACACATCTGCAATTGCGATCGTCACAGCTCTTTAAAAAAAAAAAAAAAAAAAAAAAATGTATCTCCGCCCTGAGGATCACTTCGCAGGATATGAATTATTTTCCTAGAATGGATACATATCCTGCTATGCTCTTCGTCGGAAACCACGTAATTTAATTTATGTATCGATCGAAAGTGGAATATAAGGCTGTTAAGGAAAAATTTTGTATTCTAATTTTCGTTGAACATTACCCCCCCCCCATGATTAACAATTTCTATTAGCTAATTTTAAATACGATATCAAAGCAATATAGTTTTAAAGAAACTATTAAAAATTTAGCTGTATTTCTGAGATTTATTTTCCTTTTAGTAACATAGATATGAATTCTACAAATTACTTTTAATTCCTGGCAATTGGTTTTATAAATATTCCAAATTAACAAATAAAAAAATAACTAGTTATTACATTGTTATTTTACAAATAGATTTACCACATTATTAGTCTTATAGTAACAAATTGATTTAATTAAAACAATGTACAAATAGATATTGTCATTCTACGTAGACAAATTTCGGAAAATACATCAATTTAGTAATATTTTGGAAATCATTTATTTACAATTTATTATGAAAGTCGTATCTATTAATGAAAATCAAAGCTGGAAAGACCTGAATTAAACATATCTTCTTTTTAACTAGCATTAATTTATTATACTTTAGTGCAGTGTTTACGAAACTTACAAACTAGAGAAGCGTCCTTGCCTCGATCCAACTTTGCTGTCCTTAATTTAGGTCCCATCCGCGTCGAGCGTGTATTGAAGGCACTTTTTCGAGCGCTTCAAGAGCGATCGAACTACTTTCTCCTTTTTTATTTTCTTGTCCCTTTCACACACCATGTATACACGCACAAAACATCATTGCTTTACTTCGCTTTCGTATCATAATTTTTTCATTCTCGCATATAATCTATTCCTTTTTCGTAAAAAAGAAAAAAAAAATGATTCGATCGCGCTGGACGATGGATTGGCTAAGAGCTCGGCGAAGAAGCACGGTGATTTGGAAATCGAGATCAGGACTTATTCTCTGGAATCTGGAAATCGAAATACACAGTGATCAAGAGAGGAGAATATCTTTATGTGACAAAATAGATGTTACTATTTTCATTTACTTCAGATGATACATTTCTATTATGTGAATTAATTACGTTTTACTAGTGTGTGTTACGAGAAGAAGCGTGCTTCTCCGCAGATTCCATCGTGGAATGGATTTCCAAACGCTCGAAAGGATGCTACCATTGTTGTATGTACCGAGCTATAGTCATGAAAAGCCAGAAAAACGTGAAGAAACAAACAAAAAAAAGAGCTCTTTATGTTCGATTTGACTCGTTGTAACTCGGTTTTTAACGGAGTGGGAATTTTTACTGTATCGTTAAGGATACGCGACTTGGATGCTTCACAATTTATTTACTTACTTAAGCTAAAAATATAAACGATCAAGAGTCTTTATCGGGTCAGGGGCGTACCACCGAAGTTGAACGATGTAGGTACCGTCTGCGAGTGAAAAGCATAACCTGAAACAAAGAATAAAAGCAAACGTTACTTCGATATAACGATACATTCACGATGTTAGGTTCAAGTATTGGTATTGGAACCAATTAAACGGACTCACCACCGCTCTGTTCAATTCTTTTGCTTTCCAAAGCTGCTTTGCGCTGATCCGCCAGAAGAATAATTTCCTGTAATGCTTTTTGTTGTTCTGAGGTCAGATGACCGGTCAATGCTCTGTACCAAACTGTGTCTGATCTTTCAATATCTAAAAACAAAAATATACAAAAAAAATATTATACATACTAATAAAATATACCAACAAAAGAAAGTATAAACTGGCTACTTACTTTGCATTACTTCTTTGAAAACAATGTATTCGTCTTGATTCGTGTCTTCCGAATCTAAAGGTGTGACATAGCATTCAAGTGGAGTTTCCTCATTGGCATCGTATTCTGAGCCATCATAGTCATCATCCGACGTATGATCGCCATGGCCATCTTGAAGCGAAGTAGATATATTAAAACCGTGTTGCGTAGACGACCTCGTCACCTTGTCTTGCAGTTTCTCCAAATATTCTTCATTAGCATCGTCGACTTCATCCTCATCCGATGATAATACCTCTGTCCAAGTATAACACGCGTACTTTTATTATTTAACACGAATTAATGTAATTCAATTGACGATTACCAAAGATAAATGAAAGTAATTACCTTCGTCGATATCGCTGTCGTCGTCCTCGTTTTCTTCATCGTCGGTGTCAGTTACCTTAGCCGCATAGGCTCTTTTCAAACCATCGAAAAGTAGGATTAAAGATGGTATAATTTGTTGAGCACATTCATTCACTGCTGGCGGTCTTGCTGGTCCCATGCTAATTAGAGTGCATAATCCAAGAACACATAACTTCCTGTCATGCAACCTAGACAAATGCAACAATTGTTTACGTTGTAAATCTTTGATTCACTTCACTTAGTTGTATTTCATGCGTAGTAAAATTATATTAAAAATGTAAGATGCTTACCCCAAAAAACAGTCCGTGTCGTGTATCCATTGTTTAATGAAGTGAGACGCAATTGGTTCTGTCGACTGACCAAAATTTCCTTGTAATCTATCCATTGTTTCCAGACAAAGCGCTGGATTGTAATAAAGAGCTGCGATTACTACTTGCAAACACATTGTTCTCAATTCTGATGTCTTCACTTCGCGCATCAAACGTTCCAGTACCAATTGCACGAGCGAAGGTATACACTAAAAAATGATTTTATTTATTGTCTAGTCAGATGACGGAATTTTGTAAAAGAATATATTAATATAAACATTTAAAAAAAATCCTACCTGATCAATGTGACCTTTACATTGCAAAATTATGACCTCCAATAATTTGGCAGCATGACATTCTGGATCTTCTCCGGCATCCCCAGTTAGTACCTAACGCATCAAAATTAAAAATCATTTTTATTAGACAGATCCTCTTTTGTTTTCGTGAAAACAAAGTTTGATAACATACGGCTTTGCACATATTGAACATAGCCAATACGTGATTTTCATTTGAGAGAAAAGCCGACGTGTCGACTGTGATGTAATTATGAAGAGCAGGCATCATATCAGTAAAATATTCAAAGCCGTCTTTTTGAAAGAGCTGATACATCCATTCTAAGACTTTCCACATATCTTCCGAAATTGTCTGCCCAGTTAAATCATAAACTAACGAAAGGGCTTCTTCATAAAATTCTGAAGCAAAAGGGTATAAAATAAATAGATAAATCAATATTCAATATAATGTAATGTAATGTATCTTTTATCTTTATCATTTAGCTTACCCATAACGCTTTCGCCAAAAATGTGAGCGACGACCTGAAGCACGGTAGGTTGCAATTGTGCCATAATTTGTGGTTGTTTTACCATCGCAGTTAATAAAGTCTCTATAGTGTTTAATATACCCATGGCAGTTATAGCTTTTTCATCGCTGCCTTCATCTGTTTCGAGCACTTGACTGAAAGTTGCAGCCTGAAAGGATACATAGTTTTTCCAACATCCAAACATACATAACAAAAGAAAAATTGAAAAAAGATTCCGCTTACAAGATGCTGGCACATTTCAACTGCAATTGGCATAAGCTGATCCGAGTATGTACAAACAATTTTCTGAATAACAGTCGCTAAATCGTCATTCTCCGTTTCTCGTACAATAGTTAATAATTCAAGCGTTATTGGTTTGATTAAAGGTTCTACGTATTTTTGTGCTTTATCTTGAGCAGAAAGAAGCATCTGTAAAGCAATGGCAGCCTCCACTTTAACCGGTAAATCTTGGTCCGTCAGAAGAGCATTCATCGTCAATCGAACTGCCTCGATTAATATTTGTTCCTGCTTAAATTTTATCTCAGAGAAATAGTGCAGCACCCAGCATGCCTGAAATACAATAATCATGAATTAACTATGAATTTCATGAGCAATTAAAGACTTTCGATAAATTAAACGTTTATGGATATAAAAGAATCATTTACTCTTGCTCTCATGTGTCCATGAAGACTACTGAATTCAGGAAAGACGTATTGTAACAACATCTTGTCCATTTGTTCCTTGTATACTTTCTTCTTTAATAAGACGTCCGCTAAACTGCCAACCTAACAAAACATTTTTGATTTTAAATAATATTAAATTTATAAGAAAAGCTCTACTATACAGAGCTACTTACCATATGTAATGCGCCATCCTTTTGTCTGGGGTCTGCATTTGGACTAGTTAATACTTCCATGCAGAATCGCATGGTTTCTTGAAGCATACCCTTACGCTTTTTGCAAGCAGAATGCAATAATGTTTGCGCTGCAGTTACCGGAGACACAAAGTCTTCAAATATATCTAAAAAGTAATCAATTTCCTTCTTCAATAAAGGCTTAAAAACGAAACGCTAGAAAAGATTTCTTAAAACTATACTTTATTTTTAAGCAAAGTAAAGGAAACTCTGACTACTGTCTTACCGAATTTTACTCTGATATATTCGTACGGATTGTTATTCCAAAGCTCCTCATCCGCAGCAGAATACGAAAGGATTGGAAAAAGTACATCACGAATTATTTCGAACATATGTGGTTTTAAGAATTTCCACGAGTACGCATGACTCACTCTGTACATCGAAACAGAAAACTTTCAGACTGTGTCTTCAGAAAATATGGTATTACATTTAACTGACAAAGAGCTTTGCCGCTTACCCCTGATTAATGTAATTAATTGATTGCTGAATCACTCTAGGCGACACGTAAACTTTCCTTCGATATTGATCCAAAATTTTTAATAGAACTTCGAGTATACCTCCGCTAAAGGTTCTCAGGTACCACTCAGAAAACTCTATATACTCTTTGGTTACATTTTTAGGACTGCCGTATCTCTCAAACATTCTATGAAGAATGTGGAGAGCCCATTTTTTACATTTCCACCATGGTAATTCTGCGCGTTCATCGTCATCCAAATCTGGATTATTTGTTTCAGGCGGAACGGGTCTGTCGGCTACTTGCCGTACTATGTCCATCCATTGTGAAAAAACTTCTTTTGAAATCAAATCCAAGGGAAGCGTATACTGAAATTATTAAGAATAATAATAATGTAAAATTATCATAATAATTATCGTAATAAATAAAATACCATAGTAAGAGCAAAGAATATCTTCAATATCTGTTTTTGCAATAAAACTGATTGTTCAGAAGAATCTGGTAAAAGGCGCAATATTAACTGATAAATCATAGGAAGCAAAAGATTCATTGCTTCGTTCAATGGCCCTCTTTCCTCCGCTTTTTTATACCTAGAAAGATTATAAAAGATGTAGCAACTTGTTTAACTATGTATTCTGCTTTCTAATACTAATGGATTATTTTTATAGAAATAAAGACCTATAATAAGAAATATCGACATACTCAAAATTTTTAACTAGTTGATAAAGTGCTAGAAGAACACCTGGCCAACAGGAAGCATCCGAATTCTGTAAATATATTGTGATTTTGTCCACTATTTGTGTCCATCTTCCAGGAAAGTCATGTTTTACGATATTATTGACACACACTGCCAATTGTACTCTGTATCGATAAGAGAACAAATTCATTGTAATCATTTTTAATTACATCGCGTAGACCGTAGTAACTAATTTCGCTACTCGCCTGATGAGTTCTGGTGCATGCACCAGAGCATCAACAATTGCATCACGAATCATTGCTCTATCCTGCTCATGGATACTAAACTCTACCGGACCATTCTCACTTTCTCTGTCAGCCCAATTTGTTGTAATTAAATTTTTTAAATATATAACACCTGCATTAATATTGAATTATCATTATTTAATTCTTGTTTTCTGTTCTATAGTAATTATTTTTTTTAATTACCAGCTTGTCGCACAGGCATATCCTCCGCAGTCATTACTACTTGTAGTAATGTTGGTGCAAAACCAATAATTTTGTGTATCTGAAAATATTTTCTTTGCGTTACAAAGCTAATAAAACCTTTTTTTAATTATCGTATACATTGTTAGGAAATTATTCCTGTAAAACTGATATAATAATAAATATTCATGCTCATTCATACTTAATGCGATTATCATTAATATTATTATTTTTTAAATATATCAATTTCAACAAATACACATACATAATTTTTAATACGAAAAGACCAATAATATTATAATTACATATATATTTCAATAACTACTCGTAAGTATTCGTCGTATAAAATGCTAGGATAATAAACTGATATTGAATAACATTAAAATTACAAATAAATTAACCCATAATATGCGGAGTAATCTTAACATAAATGGTTTAATAAGTTATGCAAGTTGGAGCAGCTATACCACAAATAAAGGAGTACAGTTTTTCCACTAGTGATAGTAGAAGGAGTTTATACCATTAAGAAATTAATTTAAATAAGGCTAAGTACAATAAATGTTGTATTTACCAGAACCTATAAATATGAAAAAAAAAATTCAATGAAAATGATCATGAATGTGGTTAAAGGTCATATTCGAGGAGAGAAGGCAATGAAATAATTTAAAGAAACTGTTGGTGTTAAAAAACGTGCAGAAACTAGTTTGCAAAAATCAATGTTATAGATTCGGTGAAAAATGACGAAAGGTGAAATGATAACGTAGAAAAAGAGTTCGCGGAGAGGCACATGTTTCTGTCGTAGTGTCGGTCGTTCGTGCACGTTTTCGATCAGTTGACCGACCTGATTCAGTTGCTCTTCAGCTTGCTTCTGTTGCGCTGGGTCGATCGTGGCACGCAACAATTCTGTTACTTTTCTTACATCCATCTTGTAATTGGTTTTCTGTTGGTCGACGTTGTCTAAATTTTTTGACTCCTCCTCACGAATTCGACCCGGCGCATTCACCTCGCTACTCCCTCGTCACGTGACACAACAATATGGCGGCCGAGAGCGGATTGCGTTATATCCGGCCATTAAACACATGAAAATTAGAGAGGAAACTGGCGGACCTGCCGAATTGCAAAAATGTAGATAGTAAACTGTATTCGAAATCGGACATATGCAACAGCTATATTTGTTATAGGTCATCGGTCGGTCAAAACATTGTAATCGTAATTGTATGCACCTTAGTCGAAACTGGCCGAAATTGCACGGTTTGAACGCATTATCTTGTTGATCGAAAAAGATACGAACTAATGCGACATTTGGACAATTTTTATCGAATGATAGTGTTATAAGTCTGGCCGTAAAACTACGTAACACTGACATGTTGCAATTAATAAATCTTCCTGATATTGTTTTGGAGACAATTTTGTCTAACCTTACATACGACGAAATTTCACGATACAGAATTGTAAGATTTACTTTTCTATATTTTGTGCTTTCGTTTCATTATTTGGTAAACAATATTTATTTTTATAGGTTTGCAAACAATTTGATCGGATATGTAAAAAGTTATTGAATCGTGGCTTTAATTTGATGGAGAAATATCATGCACAATGTTTGCGTGCAGTAAAAAGTCAATTACCACGAAGAGAATCGGAGAGAAGGAGTCATCCTTTGGCACGTCATTGTGATATATTAACAGCGATAGAAACAAGGATATCCATGCTATCCATGACTTTTATAAAATACGTAGATCTCAATCTATGTTGCTTTATTCCTGGAAAGGTGAATATTCTATAACTAACGCAATATAATTTAATTTATAATATATTTCTATATATTAGGTGATCGATGAAATTTTCCGAGTCCTCCGTTTGATTCGTGATTCTAAAACTCCACCTAGAGCTCATGAAATACTTCAAGAATTAAGAGATATTAGCAGTATGGCTATGGAACACTTCGATGAAAAGATTTTACCAGATTTAAAGCATAGTATTTGTACGTCTGTTGTTAGTAACGTAGGTTCTTACGAATTACCAGGTGGAAGTTTGATGATCTCTCATCATACTACAAATCCAAACAGTATAACATTGCCACATAACTTTAATTCGGAAAAATTAAATCAGACTTTTAAGAAAATCTTCTTTCGTACCAAAAAGAATAAATTGTCTGTCCTGTCTATGAGAGGACAAATAAGCAAAATGAAACTTAGAATGAAAAGGCAAGGTTTCCAAATGCGATTGCAAAGTTTAAAATTACAAGAACAGGCAAAAAAGATACACGATCAAGATACGCAGTTGGCTGAAATGAGAAAGCACCTTGAAGAATGGGAGCAGAAAATGGTTGATTTGACGACTGGTTTGAGCCGCGCAAGAGAAGAAACACAAAAACCTGATTCTATAGAGACTTGTAAAAGAAAACTTATAGATCAAACGAAAGACTTGCAAGCGAAAAGATGTAAACTGGTAATAGAAAGATTAAAATCAATATTATAAAAGCTTCAACTTTGCATTAACTTGTCCTTTGTACATAATAAGGTTGTATATGAAATACGAGATAATTGTTCTATTTGTACTTTGCATTTTTTATGTTATAACTGAATAAATTTAAGCGTTTAAACTTTCTACATATTAAAGTTCAACCTATGTAGCTATTTTCAAGATGCAATTTGAAATTATTAGAAAACGTAATAGTTAACAAAGTTAATAAAAAAAGTGCTATACGAAGTAAAATTTTAAATTATATTTCATTTCGATCGACTATCTTGGGTTTGTTAAATACATATTAACTCAAATTTGTATTCTTAATAAACAATTATGGATGTATTTTACACGTATTTGAAAGATAAAAATATACTATGATTTATTTCATTTTTATTCGAGCATATGATTCAAACGGAATATGTGAGTAAATGTAATGGACTGTGTTATTAAATTATTGTATAAACTTATAATTCAGCTAATAAATGTATTAAAAATTATAACTACTACAAGAATATGATTTATGTATAATTTTAGACAATTTATTAAACGGTGGATATTAATTTAAAATTGAAATTTAATAAGATTTCAACAAAATTGATAACATCTATTTAATTTGCTTTTTATTTATTGTATTTGTAGTAACTTTTCCATTTGCACTAATATTATTTTACATTATGTAAAAGTTAGCAACAAATCTGGTATTAGATGTATATATTTATACCTGTATATGATTGTTTTGATATGCGGTAATATTAATGGACTTGTTTACCAACTTCAGTAATTATGATTTTAAAAAATTGCTCCGTATAAATGCATCTTGTAACACAATTATGTATGTATATCTACTCAAACAACATTTGATATGACATCTTTCAATATTGACTCTATGTCCTGTAAAACAATTGCGTTTAGAGACTCTAATCGTTCTTCTGTAGCATCCGTTGTTGAACAAGGTTCGAACTAAAAGAATTTTATACAAAGTTAAATATCTGAAATCATAGATAAAGTATTCTAAAACATTGATGTATATTACAATTTTCTTTGAATTCGATACAATAATTGAATCATTTTCATAACATGTTTCTGTACACATCTCGTTGGACAAATTTATATTTTCAATAGGTGGTAAATCTAATATCTGGTCATAAATTACTGCATGCGCATTTCGCAAATAACTTTGTTGTTTTTCTTTTATAGCTTTTCGTATAGTACTTTTTTCTACTTCGGGTAATACAAAGTTATAAATCATGTTTGTTACCAGTTCTTCTTCCGCAATCCTTGTTGCACTAAGAAATATACAAAAAAAGAAGTCAAGAAAATAGTTAAAAAATCTTATTGTTATTCAAACTATTACTTGTCTTGGGCACATTTCGATATATCGTCCACTTTATCGCATAGGTCTAAAATATATTCTTTGGCTGCCTCATCCGATGTCCATTCGATGCCTTCTTTTATAATATCTTCTAAATAGATTTCCACAGACTCTTGATGAACTTTTACAATTTGCCTAAACATTTCATCAAACACTCTACGACGATTGTATTCCAATTGACGTCTTCCAGCTTCTGCTGCTTCTTTCATAGCTCTCTTTCTCTCAGCTAATAATGCAAAAGCATGTATTCGACGTTCGTCTTCCAATCTTATCAATTCCTGAAAACAAGACACAGATGTACAAGCAGTTCGCGCTGTACGAATGCATTGATAATAACAAAAAACAAAGCGCACTTTACTAAGAAAATCCAATATTCCTGAAACAGTCATTCCTTCTAAAGAATTTAGAACTTCGCACAAATGATCTTCTTGTGCAGATTTTTCATTTTGTAAATGCTGTAAATTTATCGTGCATTCTTTTTCTTTTTGACATTGATTTTTCGATTGTTCTTCTAGTACGTGAAACGACTGCAATTCTTCGATTAATTCTCTGCATCTATTGCGACCTTTGAACATCTACAAAAAGATTTATTGAAATATAAAAATTAATTGACACAATTCTATATAATAATTACCAAGCATTGAAGAGCTCTTCCTTTAACTATTTTTTGCACAAGAGTAGATAATTCATCTATGTGCGTGTCTTTTGCATTTTCTGTACTTAAAATATGCGGTGTAGATGGCAATGATGGTGGTTTGTATTTGCGCTTCAATAATGTCGATGTTTCCACTTGTTCAACGTTTAATCTAATTTCCCTCAAATCAGAATATAACTGTTTAAGTTTCTCTTCTGTCCATCTTGTTTCTCTGATACAAAAATCGGCTGGTTTAGGCTTTGGTCTAATTGCTTTCAGGTCTTCATACGTTGGAAGCCAATTTGGCAATGTATTTATTTTATCTACACCTAAATAAATGAGTATTTAAAAAATGCAAGACAAGAAAGTACATTGTAAAATTAGCAATGATATACTCGTATTTACTTTCAATGTAACTTTCTCTCAATAATTCTTTTCGTATTACTTCGTGCCTTCTTTGAGGATGTTCACCATAACGCATTTGTGGTGCATATATTTCAGATGTTGGATCGATATGTTCTTTAATAATATCACGTTTAACAAATCGTTGCTTTTGGTAATGTTTTTTATGAAGTTTTCTTAATTCTCTTCTAAGATTATGTTTAATAGCATTTACTTCTTTGTCTCTACGTTTGGATAAAAGGATTTTCAACCTGTCCAAGCGATCTTCTACTTTCTTTTCTTTTTCACATTCATGAGATTTTGATATTTTATCCATAAGCTCGAGTCTATAATCTATTATCGCTTGAATCTCCTAAAATAATAATGTATTTTATTCTTAAATGAATGTGTATATAATTATATTTTTGTGAGAAGATAAATACTGATTCTCTAAATGCCCATTCGTCTATTTCCAATTTTGTTAATATAGCAGAACGTATTTTTATATTAGTTAATGTATCCATAGGAGGAAGGATTGCTTCCCATGCCCTTTTCATTCTCATTCTATTAATAATTTCTATTTCATGAAGTCCAGCTGGTAAACCATGATCCCAACTTAAATGTGCTATTGTTAATACTTCAGGATTATGACCTAAAATATTATTGTTTATATTATAGCACTATACAGGATGTTTCTGTATGTAAATTATATTTAATATATTTTACCTGACTTAATGGTATATGGTGGTTCCCATGGTACAGTTTGCGATTCGCTATCCCGATAATCGGTTTGAATTCCAACATTTTTATGTGCTTCTAATTTAGGTGAAAATGTGTAACATTGTTTCTGTGCATTTCTTACTACATTATTCAAGATATCATGATTAATATGATCAGGAATGTCTTCATTTTGTGTTTCTGGTATTAAAAAAGGTATAACTGGTCGTCGATAATATTTATAATTATCGGCTGACATAATTTCAACTGATTTATGACGATGCCTAGCCATTATCCTACAAGAATTGAGATTTAAAACCAACGATAACTACATATCACAATTACTCTTTTGTTACAATGTATTGTAATTAATATAAATACCCTACCTGTAAAAGAAAAAAATTATACTACAAGTTCATCGATCTCTGATTAATTTTTCAAGTATTAACTTACTTAAACTCTGAAATCCAGTTTTCTTTTTCCATATTATACTGTTTCTTTGCTCGACTGTTACACGCGAATAATAGTTTCTTGCAAGTATTCTGTAAAATTGCAAGTGTTAAAGTTATTAAATTTTTTAATAAAGAACTTAAAAAAAAAAGTAATAATGTTACAAAGCAACTCACAAATGTACAAATTTCCTGTGCGCTGGGCATTTTAAATTTTGGCTTGTTATTACACATAATGTAGAACTCTATATAAATTATGTAGAGAAATGGAAACTGCTAATAATACAATGCATTTCTATGCATAGTTTTTAGTAATTAATAGTCACAAACGGTATTTTAATATTATTTTCTTTCCTATGAAAGGTACAAAAGTACAATTACTTCTTTATTAAGAAAACAAATTTGATAATGGTTGTTAGCACAGACATGAAACCAGTATTGATCAAACATTAACTTCAGACTTTTCGAAATTGAACAAATACTAGAATTATATACTATGCAATACATACATACATATACGAATAAATGAACATGGTTTTAATAAATTTTAATAAAATTGTATTGGTTATAGTATATATTTTATATTCTATAAATACTTTACATATAATTAATAAATTATATTACTTTTTTTATTATAGGTATATTAAACATTATAGACATTTTTCGAAAATATACGAATTTCTTAATATGCACGTAAATCTTTTAGAAATTAAAATATTTATTAACACAAATGAAAGTTATTTAAACGTTTGCCTTATGAAGTAGTGGTTTGAAATATCCATTTCCAAGCGGACCTAAATATTCTGACCAACTCTGACGAGAGGAAATATTTTTACAACTTTGATTAGGTAACATATCTTCTGGGCAGGTACATTCCAGTTTTAGTCTATATATTCTCATTTCGTCGAAAGAAGATTTAAAATTTTCCCTTTCTGTTGCTTCGTGGTATATTTTATAACCAGTATCTGGTACAATTAAACAATCTTTAATGATATCAACACTTTGTTTGTAGTGTAGCTTTTTTTCTAAAAGCATTTTCTTTTTACAATTTACATCTTCTTGAATTGGTATTACAGGTATTTTCGAAGACGATAACAAAACCGTAGAAAATACCAAATCAACAGACGTTACACCTTTTGTTTCCAAAATAGAAGGTAACAAAATTCCAGTCGGTGGTTGTTTTTGTATACCATACATCAGATATATACGATTACTTTCAGCTTTTATTTCACGTTTCCCTTTTTGTTTGTATAATTTTGCTTTAGATTTTCGTTTAACATGTCTTCCCTTATTCTGGATCTTTAACGGTTCCCGTTTAAAGCTTTGTTCTATAGTTGCATCTCTCTCTTTATTTTGTATAATATTAGGAAAAAAGTGTGCATCGGCTTGTGTAATATTCTGAAATATAATACCACGAATTAAATTGCATTTTCCAACAAAATTTAAGAAAACATTATACATGTATGCATTAAATAATATTACCACGAAAGTCCGTTCAGTCGATTCCTTGGTATTATTCCCATTGTTTTTCTTTGAGATCTTAGTTTCTATATCTGTTACTTTATTATTTTTCATATGAAAATTCGTGAGGTAATTATTAAGTTGCTGTAATATGTTCGACCGATTACTGACTACATTTCCTGTCGAATTATTTATATTTTTGACGAGGTTATTAGTAAATTTATCATCAATGTTACTTCTTTGTTTTCGTATTTGATCTACTTGTGAATAATCCGCAGACTGTTCCTCTCCCATATTGATATTACTATCGCCATCATACGAGATATCATAATCCTCATTCGTCTGCGCATTTTTGTGCGTCCATTTACTTCCACTCTTCCAAGTATAATCATTGTTAATATCGCCTGGATTATCATTTTGATAGTCAGTAGTAGAAAACTTTTTATGTGCCATGTATTTTTCATACGTTTTATTAGATTCACTGTTCATAATATCAGGTTTATATTCTTTATAACTGGTAGCTAATCTTTCGGATACAAACGGCGCATTTGCATACGATTTTATTCTAGAATACCAATTTTCGGAATAATATAATGATATACCAGGTGGACCAACATGTTGACTCAAAGCATATAGGGTTGTAGTCAGCGTAGAGTTAAATTTTAGTTTACACAAATCAGCACGTGGTTCAGGTATAAAAGTTTCGTTAAATGCAAATTGATGTTTCTCTTTAATTTCATCGTAAGTTAAACAATCAACCGACCAATGTAAAAACCAGTCATTTCCAAAACCTTCGACAGTAACAGATAAACCGGACATTTCTTTGCTTAAACTATCTTGTATTGGGTTTTCTAGCAAAGACTTTCCTGTCTTTCCGTCTATAACCGTCGCAACTGTGTTGTAATATGTAGAAAAATCTGAGCTTACATGATGTTTCACCATAAAATCTGGAATATCATCGTCATTGTAATAACCAGGGATAGGTATACTAATTACTTCAGAATTAGGAACTGTATAATTCCAAATAGGTTCAAACGTTAATCCATCGTAAGCTATTATCATAGAGTTAAATGTAGCAGCAATAATATCTTCGATTCCATCTAATGTTATATCCACCAAAATTGGTGGTAAAGGAGTCCCATTTCCTGCATTATGATGCAGTTTTCGTAATTTCTACAACATATATATTGTTATATGATTGTATATTTGTCTTTAAACGTTAAACAGATAACTTACCAAATTATTATACATTAAGTTCACCTGAGGAACAACATATAATCCTCCCGAATGGTTTCGACCACTAGTTACAAGAACAAAAATATTTTCTCCGTCCGGATGAATTAATTTTTGAGGTGCTAAGAACAATTGCTCCGTTTTCGGCAGAAATGAACTGTGTATAATATTTCCATTAGCCCCTGATATTAAAACAATTTCACTCAAATGAATTTCTCTTGATTGTATAGTATGCGATGCGATAACATCTCCAACTTCGTCTCCATCAACGTCCGCAATAAATTTAGCATCATAAATATCAGAAAGTTTCCATTCTTCCGAAGTTGATAGTTCTTTGACCGGTACTTCCCATATACTAGATCCATCCTGTCCATTAATTGCATGAAGTATGCCACCATATCCGCATATAATACAATCTTTAATTTTGTCATTTGTTAAATCCAAACCACAGTCAACCGAAAAGATCGCATGAGCTGTCCAATGCATCCAAATAGTATCTCCCGTTTTACCATTTAAAGCTAGAACTCCTCCAAAGCATGGGATTTGTCCTTCGCAATGCAATGGATAAGCATATTCTGGAGTATCTACCATATCCAAATCTGTTTTTCAAAACAATAGCAATGTTTTATAAAATTGTTTTCGCTACCATTAAAATAGGTAATAAAAATTATTTACCTCATTAATTGAAGTTTCAACAAAATCATAAAATTAGAAAATTAAAATCTGTAAATCAGAAAATAAATATAATAAAAATAAAGTATATTATCGAAAAGAAATTTCTAAGTAATTTTTATTAAGATAATATACTTATTTCAATATAAATAAGAACCTGTACTAAATCCGACAATGATATCCTCTAATCCATCATTGTTAACATCACTGCTTCTCAGTGGCGATTCGGATGTCAATTTTGGTAACGATCTAGTCCATACAATTTCCGTTGCAAGCGATGTACACGGAACTATATCGGATTCGTTTGATTTTTCTTTAAAATCGTGCGACAACCAATTTTTCAGAATTGACATCGGTATAGGAATTATATTTACAATATATATACATAACGTAATCAAACTTAATAGTATTATCAATGCCATGAGTCCAAAGCAAAGAGATAGATGAAAAGCTTTGTTCGAAAATCTATATGTTTCAAAATTATAAGTCTTTTTACATTTTCTACGAGGCGCCATTAAATGCTGTTTGACTCCTCTGTCGTCGTCTAATTTTAGCCCACTTTTTCCATCTCTAATGAACACTTCGTCATCAATATCTGTCAGATCTTCATCGTCAAAACTATCCCGCACAGCCAACTTAGGCAAAGCTGGATACACAGCGGACATACTTTTTATCCTATAGAATTTTTATTCTACTGTTTATTTACGTGCTCTCTGCATGTATTCATACAATATTGGTTACAAACAACCAAGAACGATTTCTTCGCTAAAATTATAGACGTATAACAAAAAAATTTGGAATATAATTCGTACTGTGCGAGAGGTGTAGGATTTATTCCCTAATGAGTACAGGAAGACGGCCTACTGCCGCAGGAACGCTAAATGGACCGGGATTTCGATCACTGACTCTCTCCACGCAAACACTGTTTATTGTCGAACGATCAGTTGACATTTACAGTTTACAATCCGTATTTTTACACCTTTTACCAGGGCTTCGATCACTCTCTCACTAGAGAAACAATGCAATTGCCTGAGTTGCCCTCACAAGCAGCTAACTTCCGACCGATCGCAACGCCGCCCCAAGACGTGGAAAAAGTTGCAAGCTCTATGGGGGAAAATCTAGTACTAAATCTATAATTCTAGTTCCATTATAAAAAGAAGTGCATTTGCATTTTACAGATGCATCTAGCATTTCAATTGCACGTTCCCCCTTCATTGTTATAAATTATGGCGGTTAATTGTATTTATGGTTCATTCATACTGAATAGTAAAATTAAACTGAAACACCTTTAATCTTTCTAAACATTTTCCCTCCAAAATTAAGCTAAGATTCCCTGATAATAATAATTATTACGATGATAGGTAAAATGTTATTAAAGAATGAAATAGTTTTGTTATTATTGGGATTCCCCACAAGAAATTTAATGTCGCGACAACGAAACATAGTTTACGTTATAACTTTTTATCACTCTCATAGCAATAATGTGATTAATAGGAACAAATATGGAAATTACTTTATCCTACACCATTTTTAGAAGTAATTAAATGTTATGTAACATTAGACTGTATAAAAATAGTCGAAAAACTACTACGCTATCATGACGATTTACTGCTACGTGAGAACGTACCATTATGTATGCTATAAAATACTTGGGGACGTAATTAGGCTTTCTAGAATATTTGTATTTATTATACGATCTGAATTTTTAATAAATTCCTATACGTCCTTTGCAAACTCTTGAACATTAGAATTAATTAGAATCCCATAGGAAATTGAAGCAGGGTTTAGTGATTTTCTATTCACGGTTAGGATTCGTGTTATTTGGGTGCACCGTTAGAACTTAAGGAATTAACGTTAATTGTTTTATCGTTGAAATTGATTAATCAACGATTATGTAGGAGATGTCTAGGAAAATTTAGTTTGCTAGAACAGAGGGACAGTTTCCTCTGGACATCGGTCAAATATCTGGTAACACTGATTCCAGCAGCGGCTGTCAGCTGTGTCTAGAGATAGCCGCAGGTGGGTCGAGCTGGATTTTTGGCAGTTTATTTAAATAATTTGCGCAGCTAAGATGTTTATAAAACCGTTTAAAGTTAAGTCGAATAATCAATTAAAGGGAACGGAAAGGTTGGTACAACTCCCACGTGAAACGTTAAACATTGTCTCACATGTCAGACTATCAAATAATTAATTCTGCGTTTCTCAATACATTTCCAAACCGTTAATAAATATTTTATATTACTTATGACATGGACAAAGCAATGTACGTATGTATTTTGTATTTTTATGCGTTTGTTTTTCAGGAAAAAATTATGTCAAGAAATTTTGGCAGCATATCCGATGCTCACGGAGGAAGAAACCCAGCTATTGATTCCCAAAAAGGAGGCGATAAGCGTCATGAAAGTCATAACTTACGGTGGACAATTAGCGAAAGTTTACTGTGTTGCCAAAATACCTATGTTTTTTCAAATTGACTCTTTGCATCAAACACTATTGCCAACTATATATACGTTATGGCATCATCAAAATTTGTTGAGAGTTTTTACAACGGGTCTTCCGGTTGTACCTAAACTAGCGAGCGGCGCAGACTTGATGTTGCCTGGAGTGATAATGAAAGAACCTATAACGTTATACTCTTTTGGCAAATTACAGAAAGGTACTCCCGTTTCAGTAGATACAGAAGATAATAAGGTTTGTATTAGTCGTTCTCATAATTTGCGATAAGTCGATACAGGTGTATCTTTTTTACAGGCATCCGTTGCTGTTGGTATTACCGCACGTTCTAGCGAGGACATGTATATGTCGGGGGGCCACGGAAAATGCGTCGAAATTTTACACGTAATAGGCGATACGCTTTGCCAACTAGGAAAGCCACCTATCAGACCAAATCTAGGGCCCCTGAATCTCGACGTGGATAATGAAAAATTAGAAAATATAGATCTAATCAATGAAAACAGTGACCAGCCTCTCGTGGAAGCAACAAGCAATTTAGAAATTTGTAACGATAACATTTTAGAAACTGAATTTCTCACCGAGGTAATTTGCGATATCATTCGCAGAAATGGGGTCGACCGGTCGATGCTAAAGAATCGTTAATATTGTTCTTGACAGGAAAATGCGGAGGAAACCAGGACAGAAGAATCCGAGGAGGTGGAGAATGTAATTATGGAACAGTCTGAAGCAGTTGTAGATCCTGTGCAAGAAATGGATAACTTGTTAGAGTATTGCTTTCTAAAAGCGTGCAAAAAGTCTGTGAAATCTAACGATTTACCAATGTTAGTGTCCAATTTCTCGAAGAATCATTTATTGGCGGCATGTCCACCCGATAGAAATATAGATATAAAAAAGTCACGATATAAAAAGCTGTCCGTGTTCTTAGCTGAAATGAAAGCAAAGGGTGTAATTAATACTTCCGTCATAAAAGGAGTAGAAAGCATATTGTCTATTAAGGTAATATTTGTAGTTTTTGGCTAATAGGAATATTTAGGATATAGATATTAATAAATTCTTTGTTGTAGTTTGATCATCCCCTTTTAAAGAAGTTGGTCGTTTTAGAAGAACCAGCACCACCCTCGGATCCAGTAGTTTCAAACACGGCAGTGGTCTCCGAGTGTTACAGAGTGACAGCAGACGTTCTGCCGGTGTTATCTAAATTCAGATACGAGTGAGTATACGACACCACGCTAGGGAGACATATTTTTACCACGGTACAATAATTGCAGAGAGAATGATTTTCTGTGCAGAGCAGAAGTCGACAACCGTTACGTCATATACCATTTTGCTCTATTGTGTGATACATATTATGTACATTTTACTCCCATACGATGATTGCAGAAAAGGGGACGTAATGAAAAGAGCTGAGATCAGAAAATGTTTTACTGAATACGTGAAAGCGGAGAATCTACAGGAGGGAAAGTAAGCAACACTCGACACACTGTGTGCCCCCCGCCATTTTTCACGCACGACCGTTTAACCTATTTTGTTCGTAGGATATTGAGATTAAACCCACAACTCGCAGGTATCATGAAGACCAAAGTGAATCAAGAGACTATAACAATGGAGGACGGAATAAATAAGTTTATCGGACGTATGACGCACATGCACGAGGTTACGTTAGCCGGAAATAAGCTGTTGCACACCGGGAAACTCGAACCTATCGATATGAGGGTCACCGTTCGATCTGGCGGGAAAAAGGTACGATCGATTTGAAGATTTGAATTGAAAAACGAAGACCGACTGATTCTAAAATATGTTTTACATTGAAGGTAACGCTGGTAAATAATTTGGAAACTTTCGGTATAAATTCGAAGGAGTTCAGCAAGGAATGCCAAAGTATCGGTGCAAGTGCAACGATCACGGACGAACCTGGAAAGAAAACTCCAAGCGTCCTTGTACAAGGAAACCAGATTTTATACGTGTATAAATTACTCACCGGTAAGCAACGAACTCTTATTCTATGCTAGATATGTTTAACTACGATGGATCTATTTTTTTTACAGAAAAATACCAAATTAAAAAGACTTACATAAGGGGTTTAGAATTTGCACCGAAGAAGCAAGGCTCTCAGAAAAGATAAAGTGGCTTTCAAACGGAAATGGAAAATAAAATTTTGCCCGAGATCGAGAGCTATTCTTTCTCGATTCCGATTTAGTATAAAATGAACGAGGATTCAAGAGCATTCTATGCAATTAAGGGATCTCCGTTGTAAAGGCTGTATCTGCTAAATAAAACAAAATACGAAGACATTATTTCTTTCTTTTTTGGACAATGCGAACGGAATGTATGAGATTGTATCCGTGGGTCGACGAATAAATGAATCGTCATCGAAACTGTTTGATTTATTTACGGTCCGCCCCCTCGGAAAAGAATCGATTATCAAAGTTTGTTAATATAATTTATTGTATATCGAGGTTTCAACATGGAAAAGTACAAATATTGCAATATAGGGCCCGCGAGCTCTCCTCGGGTGGGAGGGAGGGAGGGAGGGAGGAGGGTACAATTTCACAGGAAGGAGAGACAACGCATGTTAAGATATCTCGAGACTTTTTTGTTATCTTTTTTCTTTTTTTTGTTCTGACAGGAATATGCGCTTGCTATGTATCGAAACCGAGGGTTCATATGAGGTATTACAGATTTGATGCATTTCCTCTGGTCTTTCTTTTTCATTTCATTTTTTTTTTTTTTGTTTCTTTTTCATTTTATAAGTTCTTCTTTCGTTTGCCCGACGATGGGGAAAATGTCGAAGATCGGCGAACGATCCGTCGAGATTTCTCTTGAGTAAAGGAAGGTTCCCTCCTCTCCACGGCCCCCGCATATATTTAATACTCGTTTTGTTCTTTTTTTTCTGCCAGCGGTACGCGCGGGCGCGTCACGTTCAGGCCATTCCTGATACACGCGACGCGCGCGCGAGTGTCGCGACAGTTATTACTCTTTTTTTTTTTTTTTATCATCTTCATCATCATCATCATCATTTTCATCATCATCATCATCATCATCATCATCATCATTATCATTGTTTATCATCTTCACTTTCTGTTCCTTAACTAAATAGGCTGCCCCTGCAGTCGTGGATCGCTCGATTAGAATCCGTTTTCCCGCCACGGGTCCGTCGACCGATGAAACGACTCGCATGAGCGACAGCGACTCGACCACCCCCTCGATGCCCAATACACGACCACCGCTCGAGGGGTCGAGTCGCCCGTTCGTCCAATTCTCGACCGTGTCCGATTGGCGGTACATTCTCGACTTGGCTCGACGTTATCTGTGGGCGGATATGACTCGACAAACCACGGATCACGGATCACGGATCACGCGGAATGCTTAATTACATTAAATTTTTTTTTTTTCAACCGTCTGCACTTCAATGCACGAAAATTGACGTCCAACATCGTCGGAACCGTCGACGGATCGCGGCCACAGAACAAAAACCCCGAAAAGCACCCTCGAGAAACGTTCAACTCCCCTCCCCAACCCCCTAAAATTAAACAATCGCCAATGCTCAAATCGCGCCACGGCTGCATCGAGCGCCTTTATCTCACTCTCTCCCTCTCTCTCGCTATATTCTAAATCGTATCATCTCATCGAATTTTTTTTCTTTTTTTTTTTTTGGGAACATATTGTGCCTACCGTTGTTGCCTGTTCACATCGTTCGGTTGTAAATCACGACCGTATTCACCGCCCACAATCATCACCAAAAATCATCGTCACTCGTCCGTTCTTCGCAATTTAATCACCGAAAAAATTTCGTTATTATCATCACCCCTTTCTCTCTCTCTCTCTCTCTCTCTCTCTCTCTCTAGCCACTCATCCCTCGTTTTCTCGGGTTCATTCATGCTCGTTTTTCTCTCTCTCTCTCTCTCGTTCACTCTCATCATTCTCTCCCACTTCCGTATTTTTTTTTCGCCTTCGGAATTTTCATAATTTTTTTTTTTTTCTTTTATGCAACACATAATGCGACTAGGTAGTACAGATTAATTAATAATTAATATCGTTAGTTATACAATAATAACGTATGACTAGACAATGCAAGATAATAATTATATCGTAAATAGTAATAATCATGGATCGCAATTTATATCAACAATTGTGATGGCGCGCACGTGTTCTCGAGAATGTTGTATTTTTTTTTTTTTTTTCTTTTTAAATTATCGTTATGTGTGTGCCTCTGTGTGCGTGAATGGATCTCCCCCTTTGTTCCATTTTTTTTTTTTCTCTCCCCACCTGTGTATGTATGTTTGTACTTGTTGCGTGACTATATGACTTTTTCTGTCGATCAGAGAGCCCCCTTTCGTTATGTCGCGCGTTCCTCTATAATTTCTTTTTTTTTTTTTTTTCTTCGCGGGAGTTCGAACGCGCGAAAGTACGTCTTATTAATTTGTATTGCTCGTGCTGCGTATGTGTGTGTATGTGTGTGTCGTTTGCACCTTGGTGTGAATCCTCTCGACATATCCTTGACTCGTTGCCTCAAAATCGTGAACTCGTGTTTCAATAGCAATCAGTTTCACGCTGAAAGATGTTTGAGGCAACGACGAAGAATGCCCCGATGGAACAATCGATATGGGGGTCGCTTGTAAACGAGAAAAATTGCGTTTCTTCGTTCAAAGTCGGTCCCGCCTGTATTCGTGATATATTCTTTTCAGTTCGAACGTGCCTCGAGTTTCGATACAAAATTCAAAACGGTTGTTCGACTTGGAACGAGATCGATGTATCGATCCTCGATAGCGTAAGATCTCGAGACGTCGATATCGAGCGCGATTCGAGGTATCGACTCGAACTAACAAGACGGATTTCGCGTAATGTATGCATGAACGTGTGTACATGGACATTGTGTCAATATGTGTGCATGTAGAGGAAGCTTCTTGCTCTGAACTACATATTAAAAATCGGTATCCCGATTAACCTCTTAAAAAGCACGCCCATATATGGTATATATAGTTGTTGTTTAACAACAATAGCCGTCGCGGTGTTTTACGAGATGCTCGAAAAATTTCACGTGAGAAATACATTGTGTCGTAATGTAAATGCAATGTAATACAATATAATGTAATATAATATAATATAATATAATATAATATAATATAATATAATGTAATATAATAATATAATGTAATATAATGTGTATATAGATATATCTAAATTCCACATAATACTTCAATGGATACCTATTTGTAGTTGCATAAATAATACGCGTAAGTAATTAATAATCATGCGATAAGTACACAGTAATATGGATAAATGACGATAATTAAATACAGATACACGTATATAGGTTAGATTTATAGCGCGGTTGCGCGCCTAGGCGAACGTAAAACAAAAACCCGTGCTCGGCCCCGTAAGGTACTCGAAGAAAGTATACTCGCGAAACACTCGATAAAGAAATAACGATTTTAATCTCCGTTCGGGAGCGTTTTAGTCGTTTGAGATTCTACTCTTTAAGAGGTTAAGTTAATCTGCTGGGCGCGACGTTTCCAACAGAATCGATCCCAGCCGCGAATCGATTTGGTCGACCCGCGTCGATCTATCGATTCGCGACGGATCGATGGTAACAGTGATTACACGGTATCCTTCGCGGCGACGGCTCCCCGCGAAATTAGATCCTCGTAAAATAATTTCGTCGGGGCCACGCTTGATGATCGGAGGTGCTCTTTGCTAAAGGTCTAACGTTACGAAGAAAGAAATCAAAAGTAATGTTATCTTTCCATCGGCTATCGTCCACTGAACCTCGAAAAGAATTTCGATTTCTGCTTCGCCTTTCCCACCCCCCCCCCACGATCGTGTCTTCGCGTCGATCGGTCGCAACTGGCGCTACTGTCGCTCGCGGTCGATACTATCGCGTTCGACACTATCGATACAGTCGATAAAATCGATACAATTGCGTTCGATACTATCGATACAGTCGATAAAATCGATACAATCGCGTTCGATACTATCAATACAGTCGATACAGTCGATACAGTCGATAAAATCGATACAATCGCGTTTGATACTATCGATACAGTCGATACAGTCGATAAAATCGATACAATCGCATTCGATACTATCAATACAGTCTATACAGTCGATAAAATCGATACAATCGCGTTCGATACTATCGATACAATTGATACAGTCGATAAAATCGATACAATCGCGTTCGATACAGTGGATAATATCGATAAAATCGAGCGCCAGTCGCACCGCGGACGAATTAGTTAATCTAGTCGAACAGAAAACGTTCCGAAATCGATTCTCACTTGCATTTCTGATATTAACGAGATAATAGAAACAGGAAGAAGCTCGGTTGTATCGAATTTGTTGGTCGATGCGTGAACCTTAGGCCTGTGCACGGCCAACAGTGGTAGCCCGTGCATGATCAGACGCAGGCAAAACTTTCCTAACGGAGAAGAGACTTTTCCCTCTCCACGATCTTTGTCCTTTCGACGCGGACCAAATGTTCTCAGCAAAGAAAGACGACCCACCCCCTGTAAAGGGGTTTTTGCATCTCCAAAAAATTTTTCTACTCGTCGTCTTGGTTTTCCCAATCCGCGGTCAGTCTTACTTTGTCCACCCACTTTGTTTTTTTTTCCCCCGTTCGACCACCCTCTCTCCCACCCTAAATTTTGTTCGTTTAATTAATAAATAATCGCTATAATTTTATTTTTTTTTTTGTTAAATCGTACGTCCTGTTTTTAATTATCCGATCTATCACGATCCTCGGTGTAAGAATTTCGAAATTTCGAATAGTCTCTCCTCTCTGGACGACGATTACCGTCGTTTGTTTATTATCACTTATGGTTTGTGCAGTCCCTCGTGCGGTACGTCCGTTGGTAACGTTATTATGCACACAGAATGATCGTTCAGCGTCTGAACGTACGGTATAATTCGTGGAATCGTTTTTTTCCCGAGTGATTTATTACTGGAAGCATCGAAGACTCGGGCGAGAATCGAACGAGTTCGACCCTTTTTTTAAAAGAAAAATTAAAAAAAAGAGTCGAATTCGATAATCGTACATTACGGGGGGATTCCCGCCCGACGCGATTCAGTCCCACGTACGCGTAATCGACCGAAAACAAACCGACAAAAGGTAAACCGAGATGTCTACGCCTCCAATCGGATATCAAAGTAAAAAGCCACCGCGTTTCCTTCGTTCCCATTTGATATCGATCGCCGTTGTTTCCTATCATCACTTTTTTTTTTTTCTCTTTTTTTTTTCGTTAAATAACTCTTCCGTCCATACTCTTTCCTTGTCTCGACGTCGATCGCACGTCTATCGCCTAGCGTAAATCGTTATCCTTATAGTAGCGTTTATAGTTTA